CCCTTTCTTCAGTGGATTACCTTTAGGGTTTAGGAAATATTTGAGCGTGAAAATGTCCATCTTTTTTTGGAAACTTTGCTTTTGCAATTTTTTTTTTGTAACGTACATTGTATTCGTTGACTTTGTCAGACAAAACGGACGAGGATGACAGCGCAAGTGCCACATACCAAGCAGTCAGTGAGCTTCCTCAAGCGAACAGAGACACTCTCGCTTACCTCATACTCCACTTACAGAAGTATGAAACTAAATTTATTATACTGAGTTAAATTGTCTTGTGCTAAAGGCACGAAGTAGCAATCTCAACACAAACTTTATTTCGTCAAACACTCCTGGTACTTGTATTATTTATTCATGTAACACGAGTGCAATTTGCAAATGTAAAAATTTCGTCTGAGTGCAATTTGTAGTCTTTGAAAAATTTACACCAGATTGCACGAGAAATCACCGTTTTACCTATACTTACCACACTAAATGATTCCTAGAATAAGTGTTTGAGAACCACCTTTTTTTTCGTTCCATTCCACTTCCAGTTCATCAAAATGTGATGCATAGAAAATTGAGAAATAACTTTGAAAGATTTTTGCATTTTTACATTTGATGTTCACTCTATGAAATGGATATGAATAAGTCTTATAAACTGTTCAATAAATCCGACATTATTTAAACGTAGTAGCAAAGCATAGTGCCTAATTTACACTTAAGATCTCTGAAATAACTCAGAGGAAAAGATTCTGTGATATCAAACTGCTTAAACTCTCTCCACGTACCTTTTTTTTTTTTTTTTGTTATTCACAAAACTTTAATGGAGAGAATGGTCAATGACTTACCGGTACATTTATAACGTTTTATGTCAGACTTCCTAAAGTTACATCGTTCGTATCTTCATTTTAGAGTGTCACGTTGCACAGAATGTAAAATGGATGCCAGCAATCTTTCAAAAGTATTTGGTCCGACTGTCGTGCAGAACTCCTCCGCCAACCTTGAGCCGATGCAGATGTTACAAGAAGCCAAATGGCAACCCAAGGTGGGTGGGGTGGGGAAAATCCGAAATAAACAATTCTTGGTTTTAGTCGGAGTAGTGTGGCAACTTTGCAAGTACTTTTCGTGACGTTTCAAAGTTCTTTGTTGTGCCTTATGGCAGTGTTCCCCTTTCGTTTTAACCTTCTAACTTCCAGAAGTGGTAAACGTGTAACTTCTCAATAATATCCATATATTTTCCAGCAGAAGTAAGAGTTGATCTAACACAAAATTCTCGTAACTAATTTACAAGGAAATGTGTAGCACCTAGAGAGGAGAATTAGCAGTCAGATCTTGGGAGTTGCGGTTTATTTTTCGGTTTATTCGTTAAGTTGGATTCGATAACCAGCAGACGAGAGAAAATGAATTCAAGAGAAGGGAAGAATTTGAGAGATTTATTCATGAATATATAATACGTAAAGAATAAAATCATAACATTCGCAACACGAAGTTAGCGACTAGACGTAGAGGAGTTTAAAGTTTCACGGGCGAAAATTAACGACGCAACTATATGCACCATGAACATCGTTTCACGAAGCGATTTTGATATTTGTGCCTGGGTTTTCACTGAACCAAAATTGCCCCTTTAATCAAAAAATTGGGCGGAAAGCTCAGCTCAGATGAAATTTTCACAGGAGACGGTTTAATTTTTTCCCGCTAATTAAACGGGTTCGTTTGAAATTGTTCTCAGTAACTACTCAAAGTTCTTACAAAGTAAAGGTTTTGTTTCTCCTCAGGTTATGGAGCGACTTCTCTCAATGCCTGTTGACTACTGGAATCAGTTCAGAAACATTGACGGCGAGAATATCCGTTCACCCCCATACAACCCGGCTTCTCATCGTGTGGACGGAACCCCGCTCACCCCGGAGTGTAGACCCGGTAAACCATACCACACCATGTTTCCCTTCCTCCCCCCTTCCCGTGAGTGAACTTTAAAAAATATTCCTCATGCCCCACACGTCTCTTAGCCTAGTGTGTTCTGTTCACCCTGAAGAGATCCACCAGAGTTTTCCAATCTCGTTAGAGCGCTATTCAATTAAGTGTCATAAAATCAAAACCAAAGATAATTCAAAGGCCAATCAAAGCGAACGAGAATAACCTGAAGGGCCATTGAGAACTCTAAGTGAAATAATTGAACTGCCCGAAGCGCGGGAAATCGCGGGTGATCAAGTTGCAATTGGTGTTTAGTTTTGTGTCGGACTGGTTGGAGGGGGTAGCGCGTTAAATTTCTGGTTTGCCTCCCAGTGGTTCATTTTAGGAAGTTAAATAAAATTGTTACTTACTGACAGTTACCTCGAGCGAGAGAACGGAGGTAGAAGGCTTTTTTTAAGGTCCTAACGATCCTGATGTTTTTGTCACTTAGTACCGGAGAGCATGCTTGGACCGCTTACAGCTTCAAACACCAAGTCAGTCAAGAAGAAGGGAAGTTTTCTCTCCAGAACTCCTCTTACACCAAGGTAATCTCCAAAAAATTATCACAAGTCTCTAATCATAGGAGTACTTTAATAAGATCATAATTTGGACTCTGCCTAAAAGGGTATTGTGCTCTGAAGGCTCCCCACCCTAGCTCTAGTGAGTTAACCCGTTGCCTTCCTAAAGCTACCTGCACAGAACAGTGGGAGCAAAAATGATTTACACTCTAAAATAGACTAGTTGGGAATGTGATCATCTTTAAGAGTTAAAATTCTTGTTTTAGTTTGGACTCTTGATTAATTTCCTGATTTGAACAGACTACGTATTGATATCGGCTTTTTTTCCAGGCAAGGTGCTAACGACGAGCATTCAATGATAATAGATTCAAAACTGTAATGGGAACTTTTGAGTACCTGCTTTTTTCCCCAGTAAAGTGAGATTGTTTACCAAAACGTTATCGAGACTAAATACAGACAGCTGAAGCTGCTGTCGAATTTTGCCAAACATTAACTACCTAACTTTGAAGCGTCTGGCTATCATGACGGCGACACGCGAGTTTAAAGGTGTCACGCGTGAATTTCGCGCGTATTGTGGGAGGGTACCAAACTTACGCCATGACCCGACAAGTGCGGTTGTGAGAAAATTTCGCACATTTTATTTTCTGTTTGCGGTACTAACCGAAAATAAAATGATTGGTCAGAAAATTTAAGAGATCATCTTCTGAGGTACTGCGAGGTGGCCATTGAAACCAAACATATTATCACGTCAGTTTTCACCTGTAACACTTGTTTATTATTTTAATTAACATTTCTGTCGTTACCGTTTGTCAGTTGCCACGTTTTATCAGGCATTTTTTTTTTGCTCGCACAAAAAAATGAGAAAAACAATTGTTGTGGTTAAGTCAGAAAAGTCGAGACTTATTCAAAGATAAATAAATCGTCAACAAAAAAAGGCAAGTTTGATCTCGGCAAAAAAACTAATTATATCAGTGGAAGCTATGGATTCATGTTCAGTAACTCGCTAGAGCGAAGCCTTCAACTTCAATTTTCGGCTGGAGGTACGCCGAGGGTCCGACAATATTCAACGCCATGCGCTCACAAACCGGCCACATTCTCTACCGAAGAAAGGAGGTTCTTTCCCTTGGAGAATCCGTGAAAAAGTAGGCGACATAAGATCAATCCAGGAAAAAGCTTGTCAATTCTTTGACCCTGGGCGAAGATCATTTCATTTCTCTGGATGAATCGAGACCGCTCCGTTGGGCTTGAAATTTTTTAAGCAAGACATGAAAGCTTTTCGACAATTTGGGCAATCGATCGGATTCTAGAATTCGGCACGATAATTTAGTTTTTCGTTCACTTGCAAAGTATGTTTACTGGTTTATTCTATAACCCCGCAATTTTATTTAGTTGCAACTTAAATTTTCGTCCTTCCTAAAATTTAAAGTTATTATGAAGTACATGATGTGCGGGTAAACTTATTACGACGTCATTCCCTTCACAATTCTTTCCTCACGTCCTGAGTCGTATCTTTTTTTAATAATCGGCATAGGTCGGCATATCAAGTAGCTAACTTAAAATATATTTTGTACTTGGGAGGGTCTTTGTTTATACTGTTCACAGCCAAGTGTCTTGAAAATTTGTCAATCGACACGTTGAAGTAACCCGTGTTGTTTCTTCTGTTTCTCATCAGGTTTGGAAGCAAAAGCAAAAATCCGAATAAGAGACCAACGCATTTCTTCGCTTCACCGATGCTGAAATAGTTTAATACTCAGTTGTAAACCTCTTATTTGTTTTATAAGATCGACGCATCCTTCGCTTGATATGTAAACATGTCAGTCCTTGATGACGATCCGGGCGATATGACTCTTATCGCACGGTTGGTACAGTGAGATCTTTCTCTAAATGTACAAACATATATTGGGGCTTTGAGGAACTGCATTTGTTAAATGAGTAACTGTTACTATCGCCATTGATTCAAATACCCTTGTTAATCACTGATATTTTGCGTTAGGATAGTTTATTTCGTTGTGCCGACAGACTTGTCACGTCTTCGCAGTATATAGAAATGGTGGCTTGTGTTTCGGTATATATTCTTCAAAACGTGCTCGTTTTAAAGCTTCCAATTGATTTTTGTCAGAAAAAGTGTTACTTTTCTATCCATACAACCAGCTTTTAGGCTATCAAATTTATTGCTAATAACTTTGTCGCGAAATATTGAATCTCTTTAAATAGAGTCACTGTAATTTTGTCCCGTAACTACAGAACGATTTTCATTTTGCATTAAAACAGTCGAGGGAAAACATAAACCCATTACTTTTCACAATGCCTTTCTTTGCCAAGATAATAAGAATTTCGAAGATCATTGAGGCAGTTGAGTTTAGGCTTTAAATTAGGTATCATCAACGGTAAAATCTACAGCGTGCTATCGTTTCAGTTTAATGTATTCCCTTCGTGTTTTTTGTATCGCCTTTGTACACAGTTTATCATCCCTTGTCAGTGACTTAAATAGCGACTCTTAAAGACTGGTTGTTGCGAACCGCAACAACGAATAACTCATGATCACAAATTATTCACTTTGTGATGTTATTTGTCCAGATTTAAACTTTCCAGCAGTTCTCGACCTCCAAGACTGCGTTACACACGACCTCTGTGATGTCTTCTACTATTTTGATATGCTTATCCCGGCTGAAGGAAGAAAACTAAATTTTCAAAGGATATCGTGATGATTTGGGTGTGACTTCGTGGGAGACCAATTTAGCGCCCATACTTCCGTTCAAGTGTTAAGTTGATGTTTTGGTTTTCGAATCAATCTCTGTGGCTGAGAAATCAAGAGGGGCCAGATTATCAGCGAGTCTATCTCTAACTGATCCGTCGTAACTGATTATTTCAAAGTTGTTTGGGAGGGGGGGTTGAGAAATTTAACTTACCCCTCTTTATACTTAAGTCTCGGATCTGTCTTGTTTACACTTGAAAACCTTGCAGGGAGAATCTGAACCGCTTTAGTAAAAAAATCTTCACTGCCCAACGCGTTCGAAGAATAATTATGCAAATGTACTGACCTTTCGTCTACGCCTGATCTATCGCACGGATCGTTTAGGCAATGTTGTAGACGCATTAAACTTGCGATTTTCTCACAAACAAATCTAAAACAAAGCGCTTTGGTACCACAGTATTGTCAGTATTAAAAAGGGGGGAATTCTAAACAGTCCACGGGGCCGAGAATTCGGTCCAACAAATACAGCTCTATTTCGCATGGCTGGACAAAATTCCCTCACGACAGAAAGCAAATAGTCTAAGAAAGAAACCTACGGTAGAACATAGCTCTGAAAAAAATACGAAACACATCCACGTCACGTCGAATAAAAGGAATTTACTTGAAATAAAGAAGTAACGTAAAAAAAAAGAACGTGTCCTGGCGAGTTTAGTAAACATGCTCCGATGTAATAAGTAGAAGAATTTGCGTTGGCGCTTATTGAAAAAGTTTTCGTCTGAAGAGATCCACATGTTCAAAAGAATACAGAAGAAACCCTTTTCGATCTTTGTGCATCGCGTTCCAAGCACGTGTACAAGTGGACGCCAGTGTGCTGATGGCAGTGAGACAACACGGAACCTCTCACTCATCTTTTGCTATGAGTTTATCACAGCTAAATTGCTTCCTCACATAAAGAGAAGGCTGAAGAGGCCTTAGGTAAAATTGTACTTGTTTAAAGTGACCTACTCTATTTATTTTCCTTGTTAATGACAGTGTCTAGTAGTTAAGAATTCATGGTGAAGATCTTCACCTATTAAACTAACCACGACCATGAAATTATGGTATAAAATTTGAGAGGATGTCTGCTACATTTGCCCAAATTTGTATTAAATCGATTGCCCACCGCACCTTAGCTTTATCTATACAACAAATATACGACAAAGACGAGCTTAGGATCACAAAAAAAAAGATTTAATTTACTAGGAAATGGACTACATGGTAAATAACCCCCTTTAAATACAATCGTTTTTATCAGTGATGGGTTTTCTGCATGCTCAAAACATACAGGTTTGTCAGGAGTCGAAGTTTAGTTGCTAACTTACATTTCAAGAATGGTCAAGAAACAGTTTCCCCCTTGCTAACCACAAATCGCATAACATTACATTTACACTTCATTCACATTACAAATATGTTTAGAGTAGTTAGGCAAAACCTTACTCCTGTACATGATGAAGCAGACTTCAGATCAATTCCAGACAATCTCAATGGCACAAACTGCGTAAGGCAAACAGTAACGCTAAGATTTACACGCATTTCCGATCGAGAATTCCACAGCGACGAAAGTTTCTTCATTATTGATCGATCGTTGGGAAAGAAAAGAATCGATTTCTTAAAAAACGCCGCTGTTAAAGGGTAAACGTTGTGGAATCGTATATGACCCGATTCTCATAACCTCGTCGACGAAGAAAATACATGATGTATTTCAATAACAAGCCGACGCCATTTTGACCAATCACACTGCGTTACTTACAAATTGACCAATTGCAGAGCGATCTTGGAGCTATTGAGCTTAGCGGCAAACAGGCGTGCTTTTGAGATGGGTCTAACATGAGATTGGAGTAAAGTGACTCACATTGCACTTACATTACAGGGGCAAATCTGCGCTTTTTGGACAACGTTAAGGCGGAATTTAAGATTTTGACGCCTAGGCAAGAATCTAGACTTAATACTCACACGGTCTGTCCGTTTCTTTTGACCTCAGAGCAAGGGATTTTTAAGTTATCTGTCGAGCTGGTTAGTCGCACCATCATACAAGCTTTGAGCATCTATCGGGCCGTCGGCTCATAAGATAACTACACAAAGTGCAGCTCCATTGGACTTTATGATGTCTGAGGAAACTGCAGCAGGAGAGGTAGAGGAGAAGAAACATTCTCCGAAATGTGGAAGGCTCGTATTTCGTGGAGTTGAACTGGCATATCTGAATATCGATGGTGAATTCTTGTTGCCTCTAGCGGAACTGTTGGCTTTGATTCTACCATCAACACCGCGCACAACGTTATTTACAAGGATGGAAAAAATGAAAGTTCGCAGACATTTCTGCGATCCCGAAGAAATCAAACTTCTGAAAACAGTGAATGGAATTCACGGTTCGTCTGCCAACTGTACCCTACTTTCTAAAACAGAAGTAGAGAAATATTGCTCAATCTATATCGACAAGCGTAACGAACTGAACCAAACGAGACGAGGGGATGTAACTGCAGAGCCATTTGGAAGTGAGAGTGATCGACGAGAAAACGGTTGTAAAGATAAGGAGAACAGTGAAACGACCTACCAAAACAACAAAGCAATCCCGAACAAATTAGCAGTGCTTGATAAACACAAGAAATTGACGCCGCTTAGACGTAACCTGAAGTTAACGAAATTCGTGAGAGGGAAGAAACTAAAATTACGCTCGGAAGCTGATTGTCAAGTAAATAAAACATTAACGGACAATACAACTTGTGCGGCCATTGACGGAGATCTAACTTCTGGAAACGTTAATGAATGCGGGGAAGGTTTTCTGGTGGTGCCGCCGTGTTCTTCGCACAAGGAGAAGAATTGTACACAAACGCAAGCCCTCGAAAAACTCGCCATGAGCAAGAAACGCTCAAACGAGCGTGACAGTGTTGATGGGAACAGAACGATTCGTAAAGGGACTACAGGGAAGAAAAGATCGGCTAATGATCTGGACAAACGGGGAGCTTTTGGATCGCCATTGAAAATTCCCAAGAGGAGCGAGTTAAATAGGCATGTGGAAACCAACAAAATAGTAAATGGAACGGCTCAATTTCGCTTTTATCGTTACTCATCGAAAAAGCAAGACGTTGACTCTCTCATTTCTGATTCATCGTCAACTGACAGCGGCTTCGCGTCAAAGTCGTTGTCAAATGCAAGTACACCAACGAAAACTGATTTTTCAGCTGTTGAGCTAACCAGGTTGTTAAGAAAAGACGAAAAGGTTAAAGTCACTACACCGAAGAAGAACAAAACAAGCGAGGAAGACTACGGGAAAAGCTTGACTCTATCGCCTCCAGCTTTATTGTTAAAACGATATGAAGATTCTTGGCTGGTAGAAGAAAAAAGCCCCGTCAGTGCAAAGTTCGCGGGAACGAAACTATTGCCTAAAGATGAAGCGAAGCCTAGAAAAACGAAGAAGAAAGCAAGCTTGACACCATTATTCGAAGAAGTTTGCGGACCAGTGAAACCTCTTTCTGATAAAAAAGAAGTGAGGATAAAGAAAAAAAGTTTTAGGAAACCACCAAGTTTGAAAGAGGAAATCGGAAGCCGCGAACCACTTATCACCAACAATTTAATCGTCAAGGAAAGGCACGACCTCAAAGGATTTAAGAAGAAACCAAAGCGAAAAGACAAACTTCTCAAGTTCAAATCTCTCAAAGGCCAAACTTTGTTGAACGGGAAAGTTTTCAGGTCAAACCAAAATGCTGAAATTTCAGCTAAAAATGGAAAGAATCCGGAAATTTTTCATGGAGAAATGGCTAGTCCCGTATTGAAAGCTGGCGGTCACGTACAAACACAAGAGGAACTAATGAAAAAGGACAAAGTACTCGAAAGAGTTGTCGGTGATGCTTTAGCCAAATACTTTGCTCCGACCTTATCGGAGCCTGCTCCGTTACCAGGCAAAGTCGACAAACCCAAAGCCAAGAAAACAAAGATTTTAGGAGTAGCAAAGCCTATTTTAAAAACAAACTCTTATTTTAAACTTTCAAATTTGTTTCCTCTCACTTCGCCATTAACTCTTCAAGATGGAGCTTTGAGTCCGTTGTTCACTATGTCCTGTCCGAAAGGCAGCAAACCCGATTCCAACCATGCTCTGTGGAAATGGAATCTTGGCGGCCCAGTCGTTCGCGATTCTCCAGATTTATTGAAACCCAAAATATTAAATAAGAAACCGATTTCTACGTTGAAGCTAAGTGTTGAAAAGGTGCGAAAACTCAAGCGCAAGCGGACGAAACCGTTGGCGAGTAAAAAGCCGCCATCGCTTTGGCGTGCTTCTGTTTGTAACGACATCACAAGCGTTTCCTTCCCGGCCGACTCAGCTAAAGAAAGTGTTCCAAATGCTACAGAGACTGAAATTCTTTATTGGCAAGTTAAGTCTGATGCTGTTTCGTGTTCAGCCGGAGTAAAAGTGAGTTAGCTAGCGTATGAGAAGATACTTTGCATGCTAGACACGAACCGCTATCTACGCGAAATAATTTAACAACATTGCACAAAAAGTAAGCTTACGTATATTATCAAGTCTATATTTCGTCGATTTTGTTTTCAGCCGCTGTAGAAAAAACTAATACTCACGAATTTCATATAGTTTTGGCCTTCTGTGTGTTATTTACATGAATGAATTCTTTCGATGTTAGCTTCAATACATCTGATGTACAGTAAGTTTCCATTACTCTTCGAAACATGCGTCTGCGTCAATTAATTGCAGCCAAGGGCTTTTTCCACTCGAACTGGCCAATGTTGGCAACATATTCTTCCGAAGTCTTCATGTGAATTTAAAATGTTCGAAAATGCTACTCTTATGTTTCCGATTTTCGTCATTGCATTACATTTTAAAGGGTTGATAAGGAAAAAGACACAGGGTCAGTCAGCTATGGTAGTTCTTCATTAATATTGAACATCTCATGATCACTGATTTTTCAGTCAAACGTTTATTTAAACTTTTTTTTCCCTGAAATCCTCCATAGGTAAATTACTCTGTGGAAATTGAGAAACAAAAGAACCGTTTTCAAACCAGCACAATTGATAGTCTCTTATACGTCAAGATTTTGTTTATTCAAAGGAAATATTTTAAAACGCTGATATTTCTTTCCTATGCAACTTGTCGTTTAAGGTGAATCAAAACGTTTAGTTTGTATTTAACCATCTTTATGTCATCATTTGAGTCAGTAGGTTGTCTCCTTTAATCATTTCTTGATGTCTCAAAAATTTTTCAAGTAGATCTTTCTCCCCTCACATTTATCTATATCATGGTTACTAATTAAATGTGTTACTGTTTCAAAATAAATCATGGTTAAAAAATTTAGATCCATTTTTAATTTTTACTTTCTCATAATCTTAAAACTTTGTCTCATTGTGATTGGAATGGAGTTTAGGTAAGATCTAAAACAGGGAAAGAAATGATTTTGAAATAGACCCTGGCACATATTTCTGTAATTTCATAACACTTTTGAATACCTAGTTAAGAATACTGTAACTTTTCCATAAGATTCATTCAGTAATCTGTTGCAAACCTTGAGCTTATCTACGATCCAATATAATCCACAAGTTGTCGATGTTTCTTAATATTGTCCATGTGCCTGTTTTTTTCTTATGCTAGCTATAGAAGGAGGAACTGAATTTTAAAAGCACACACACTAAACATTGTAACTTTAAATGATGGACATTTTTATGTGTAGTTGGTATCTTGTGAAACAACTATGGAGGCCTAGTTCACCCCTTGTAAAAATCTAGTGCACCTATCTTGTACGGGAGAATTGCCAAGCTGGTTTAACAGATGTTTTATAGAATACAATAATTTTAAAAATTGTACATTAACAGAGGTAAAATTTCAATACTCTGTTGAGAAGTTATTGACCAACGATGTAAGCAAACTTTAACTATCATTTTATTTGTTGGGTGTCTTCTCAATTTTTATTTAACGACATGAAATCATTTATGTCCTATGAATGATCATTAGGGAGTTGCAGTCACTAGAGTAAAATGTATTTTTGTGTTGCTGGTAGCTAAAATTTTCAATCATGAAAGAGTTAAATCTTGGAGTTTTGAATCCCTCTGGTTTGCTATGTTACTTTTTTGTGTGTTTGTTTGTTTTTTCAAAATAGAGGTTGTGTTAGAAGAGAAAGGTGAGGTAATAACCGAGATACACGTACACTTTACGCTACAGAAACAGCCTCTTTCATTTCCATCTAGGATAAAATGTCTTTCTGGTTTTCCATTAGAATTAGTATTGCAACAGTCAGGTGCCAGAGGTTCAATTGTCTCATTGCTGCCAATACCTGTCTGTTCTTTAGGACTGTGCGGTTATGGTTTTGTTACATTGTGTTTGTTTGTTTGTTATTTCAAAATGGAGGTTTTGTTAGAAGTGGAATGTTAAGTAGTGATCTACACACATTTGACACAACAGAAACAGTTTGCTTGTTTGTTTTTTCAAAATGGAGTTTGTGTTAGAAGTGGAATACTAGGTGGTGATACATATACACTTTGCACTACTGAAATAGTCTGTTTCATTTCCGTCTACAAGATAAAACATCATTCTGGTTTTCCATTAGAATAAGTATTGCAACAGTCAGGTGCCAGAGGTTCAGTTATCTCATTCCTGTCAATAGCTGTCGCATTTTTAGGACTGTGCAGCTATGGTTTTGATGTCAAAATGACTGCTTTTAAGGGTCTGTATCACAAACAATCACTTTACATATGTAATGTCCATTTCTCTATTTATGATGACCCCTTAAGTTGCGTATACATTTCTTTTAAGTTTTTATGTAAGTGAATGTGAACTTACAGTCTCACAAATTCCTTGAAATGTCTGCATTGATTCACGAGATTTGTTTTTTGGGAAAACACAAACTAATCGGGTTCCACTCCATTTTGCACAGTGTCTGAGACATACTTATTCTCACTTAGCTTTGCTTTTGTTCTTTGTTCAATTTTTTTTTTTGTTTTGTGTCAAGATTAATGTCAACCTGATAACAGAAACAGGATTTTCACTTGGTATTTGGCAATTATCCACATATCTATCTGCTTACAAACATGTTTTCTGCATTCTCTAGAAGGGAGCACTGTGTGGACGAAGAATGAATGACGATAATTTATTACAGAAGAACCAAAACTTTCTTAAGAATCTATGATCCAATCTTTGTGGAGACAAAAACCAGAACAATTGTTTTTGTCATTAAAAAGGATTGCATAGTCGATTCATCTCAATTTACATTCCATGTGTTGTCCAAAAACACTCATTCCTAGAACCATAGAAGAAATTTGTATCTTGCATGTTTTGAAAAAAGCAGGTGTTCTTTGCCCAATTTAACATCTCTAGTGGTCCAGGCAGGTTGTGGTTCCTTCTGTAGCCCTTGTCTGGGCTTGTCACACAACGCACTCCATCTGTTGAGGAGTAAGTGTGTTGCGTGACGGGCCACGACTGCTGGAGGTGGACAACGAAAGAACGCAAGTACATTATAAAGTCAAGTGGGTTTGATATTGATGATGGTTGAAGCTAACATTGAGCTGGTAAGTGTCTCTTTTTTCAAACAGTACCACAACAGAGGCTTTACAACCCCATTTGCTTCTAGAATCGATCAGTGCGATAAAAATTGTAAGAGAAAAGTCTAAATGTCATTTATAATACCAATGTTTGTTATATTAACCACCATATTATTTTAACCCCTTCCCCTCGACCTCAAGAGTGTCTCCCATGGTCCGTCCGTACTCCGGTGCTTCACGGAAACTCTGGGTGCAGTCGACAGCGCGTAAACGCCACTTCTCCCTGCGAAACGCGTTTTTTGATGCTTCTATGTTTCCTTCAACTTACTAAAGTCCTTTGAGAAGAAACAGACCTCCATAAACCTCTATAACAAAAACCGTCTTGAAGAAAATCTCTCTCAGATACAATTAACGTCAACTTGACCACATTCACTCTGGAAAATTGCTTATTCCAGGCGTTCAATTCTTAAAACGACATTAGCGGACGAGCGAAAAATCAAAGGAGGCTTGGGACGGGTGGCGTCATGGACGCGTTTTTCACGCGGCACGTTTCAGACCTCACCTTCACTCTGCCGCCTCTGCGGAGCGGTTTACTATTTCGCTCCGTTTTACTGCCTGATTGCCCTGAACAGGCTAACGAGGAAAAGAACATCTGTCTTGCCCTTGACAACTTTTACAGAGATCAAACGTGGCGACTCGATCGACGAAGAATCGCTCATTCAGAACTGTTTCTGCTCCCAGATGAGACCGTCGCTTTCCGATCGGTAAATTTTTGTTCAAATAGAGTGCACTCTTGGTTGCAAAAAGTGGTCACAGCATGCAATAAGCCAAAGCAACTTGATCAGTGAGACCCAGATTAAGCCTCGGCAATATTTAAGGGTCCCCAATCGGTTTCATCAATCCCGCGATCCCGACTAAAGTTTTCTCTCAGTCCCGTAATCCCGACGGTTTATACCAGCCAATCCCGATTCCAATCATAATTTTTTTTTCTTAGTCCGCCACCAAATTACTTAAGACCGTCAAACAAACCTTTGAGGGGATTTTCTTCAGTCTCCCACGCGGGCGCTCCAAGGGGATTGCGTTTCACTTTCGCGTTTGTGGGGAGAACTGAAACGCGATCCCCTAAAAACGGCTGCGTGAGAGGCTATGCTTGGCATGCGCTTGTTTGGACTTTCACGTAGATCAATATCTTTATAAATTCTCATCCAAGTGATTATTTCCCGAATCGCCCCTTCAATTTGTCGATTCCAATGTCCCAATCCTAATAACAACCCCGCATCTCGCTCCCTTCTTACTCTAGACTCTCGGATCCCGGCCTTCAAATAGGCCCTATCCTGGATCCCGAAAAACCTATATGGGACCCTCATATTTAGTTCGGTGCATAATAATTCTAGATTTGGCTCAATGTACTGGCAGAGAATCACTAAATGCTGGATAGTTTCAGTCGGTCGCAATGGACTCCTATTTTGCTCTTAGACATTTAAAACCGACAGCTGCATCTCCCTCTGAGCTCGCCGAGATGGTGATGAGGTCTCTAAGCCGCGCCCTGCTCACAAAAGACTTATGTCAAAAACGCCGTCCATGAAATTTGTCCATTTGGATAATGAGAATTGCACAGCAATTAAATAATCCATTTGAAATGGGTTGATTAAGGGGAGAACAATAAGAGGATAACTACCATACTAATCTGTTAGTCCGCCAACAGTTAGGCTCGATTACCAGTCGCTGTTTGCGAAACCGGAGCCCACGCTGGGCCTGGGGAGGATCGAGGAACGAAAGAGACCAGACTCGAGATGGCACCGGAAATCAAGCTTAGCTAACAGCGTGTTCCAGGAGTTCAGTTATTAAAACTAAGAACGATAGCAAACGGCGCGAGGAGTGAAAAAACGAGGGAGGAGTGGGTCGGAACGCATTTTATATCCCACCTTACCTACCTTACCTGTACCTTGCCTAAAAGCTAATCTCGTACCCAGATCCTACCGTGTAGTAACTAATATCTGCTGGCCGTGGAAGGTCTGGGTACAAAACTATACCTGACCCGGCTGAGGCTCCACTGCTTTTTCACTCGAGCGCCGCCGCTATATTGTCGCGCTGTTTTCTATTTCGCCTCGTTTCACCAACTGAATGCCTGAAACAGACTAGCCCGCTATCTTCTGTCATCATTTCAAAGATGTCCGAGGGGGCACTAAATTATTCGACCTAAAATGATATGCGCCGCTGAATCAAGGGTGTTTTCAGGGTTTTGAGTCTGAAACATGGTCTCTAAGCTCACTAGTTAGTCTCTTATACAGGATGTCTTTCTTAGCTTAACGTCATCCACAGGAACTGAGCTGGATGGTGATGTTTACATGTAAAAAACTAGAATTGTAAATAGAAATGTAATTGCAGTTGAAGGCTAGATGTGGCTGGATGAGGTCAGCACACAGAAATCTGACACGATTTCTTTTTCTTTATTTATTTTTTAACTTTAGCAGGGTAGCGGAATGGACAGATTTTGTTCAAAACAGGATTAGGGTTAAAAAGCCTCGGGATCTGGAAGGCGGTGTACCCACCCTACCCCTGCTTAGTTATGTGGAGATTTTCCAGAGGATCAATAATATGTCATTGAAAGCATCATATTGTTTGTTCGGGAAACAGGAAACAGACACGACAGAGTAAAATGTAAAAACCAGACGAATTACTTAAGAAAGAAGAATCATTAAGCTAAACCGATTTATATGTTATGATGCCGCTTTTTCGAAATATTGAAAGAACTACAGGAAAACTGCCTGATGATCAGAAAGTTTTGCTTTTTTGTCTTGATCAACTCACATTCTAGTATTTCTCCCAATAAGAGAGAGAAAACAAATTTATACGCGCCAGGAGCCTATGCTTCTGATGTGCACCTGATTTGTTTTTCATCTTAAATAAGAAAGGCACTGTTCCCACGGAACTAACGAATAGTCTGCCTCTTGGGTGTTATTGCGTGGGTCAAAAACATAAGTTAAAAATTTGCACCTGTATTGACAGTACGGGTACAGATTTGATTATAGCCTTAGATTTACCGATTTTTGTGAGAGAAAATTGGTTAAATTGATGAAAATGAGTTCAAATATTTTGTTCATTAGTCATATATATCGTTTACGGATGTAAAGAACTGAAAAACATCGGTGGCAAAATAATTGCACACGTGGGTGTTCTGAAGCGTGAAACAATTTTTTTCAAGATAAGTTGACCTTTATATTTCCTTTTTTTGTCATCATCGACACAAATGTTGCACTCAGGAACTGAAGGGAGTTTTGTACGAGACGGCAAAAATTCGTCCCCATATAAGTTGCTAGAGAAAAGAAATCTTTATCCTTAAAATCACTCCACCTTTTTTTTTTTACAAAAGCTCGTGCGAAAATTATCAAAAAACACAGGTTTTTCTCCTTTTTCTTATAATAGCTCCTGCGAGATTTATTATAAAACACATTTTGAAAACCGCAGTTTTTTCTTTTCCTTAAAAAAAAAAACTCATGCGAGATTTAACATTTCTCAATAATCTCTAGACAATTGATTTGATTCCCCCCAAGAAAAAATCGTTAAGCTTATAATTTGTTGCCTGGAAGAACATAAGTTGAAGATCAATATAAGATATGGGTGTGTGGGGGTTGAAATAATCTGCCAGTTTGCCTTAAAACTTATTTGCGTCAATATGCCAGAAATACGTACAGATGGTATGGCAAACAAATGATCGCCCGGCAATGGCTCACAGAAAGCAAGATTTGCTGCTTTCTAATTGGTTATTAGAACAATAGATGATCGACAACTTCCGAAAACAAATAAACATACGGGACCTCGACCTAGTTTTGTGCCCTCTGTTGTTGTATCTGATATGGCGAAGCGTCTCTTAAAACAGAGAATACGGTAGTATCTGCTTCCTTTTTCTCTTAATCGAAATCCATGGAAAATCCATGGATTCGAATAACCTGAAGTACATCCTTCTCCTGTTCTGTGTTGTTGTCGGACAGTTCAGAGAATCGCTGGCAGTTGGTAAGCTCGAACTTTTGATCAGGTGCTCTGATCGGTGTGATCGATCACTGATTCGAGAACGTTCTTCAAAGCATGAGAAATCGACTCATATTAATTCTCTCTGTGTTTTTTAGGCTGCTTTTCTGGGGCAGATTGTGATGTTGGCGAATACTGCAATCATGGTAAGTAGAGAAGGGATATTTAAAACTATATTTTGGGGGTAATTTCTCTTAGATTTTGAATTTGTTGATCTGTCGGTCTTTGATCCATATGTTTGGTTCTGTTTTGGTCACCGGTTGAAGTTCCGAGAAGTTTAACCGTTTTGAACAATTGTCACGGATGTTTAAGGTCTCACAGCAATCCTCGATTGTCATGTAAACAGATTTGGCGAATTCGTACATGTTTTTCTTAGATACATCTTCTAGCGCCCGTGAAAGATAAATGGTTTGATTTCTACATAAATTTACCCGTGTCGTCTTTAAAATTTGAATGCGCTTCCCGCCTACTCAACTGAAAATTTCTTCGTTGAGTTTTTCATTTTTGTAAAGCAACATAAAATTGTCGCCAGAAATACTTATTTCTAAGCCAGTCTAAATGTCAAAAAAATTCTTCATAAGTTGACTACCACGCAATTATTTCAGTTGTTAGTCACACGAAGATACGGTAAAGCGCTTTCGAAGAAGGAATTGAGGCATATTTTTACATAATTTCGTTCAGAATGTGGAATAATAAACTGACTTTTTTCCTACTTTTCGCTTTGCTGGAAAATTTTTTTTCTTTCTTTTAAAAGAATGTACACTTTGAAAGAAAAATAAGACAAGTCTAATACAAAATCAAATACAAGCTACGAGTCGAGAAGATTCGAATGATTGGTTCAACTTTTCGAAGGAACGATTTGCATGCAGGCTGATTAATCGAATAGATCTCCGTATTTAAAAAGTTAGCAATATCATTCCCTTCTTCTTCGTTTTTAATGAAATATCCATGAACCTTTGGTGATCTAATCGATCATTTTATTCTTTTATTATATCTCTGATATGGTGAAGCTTCTCTTTATAGTCACTTATTACTAATTTTCTACGTCAGGGTTCTGCGGGGACCACTCTACTTAGACTAGCAAGATATTTTTTAGTGAGTCGGGAAGAAATATTGGGAAGGTATCTAGACACTTCTTATGAAGACGTACGTTATATTAAGGACATTTCATTCATGCTTCGAACATCGCGGGAAGAGAACCGCTTCTTAATTTTCTTTACCTTCTCATTCAGAAGGTGCATTGTCTTAAATCTGTTTTCAGAGTTTCATTATTTGAGCATTAGTCATTAGTCTCTGATATGGAGAGTGAAACCCTTAAGAACACGTCTTTGTTTCAGCATTTTGGTGTAGTATAAGTTTTTCAGTTCATAATCTTTTTTTTCACTTCGCTGATTTTTTCACTTTCTACGCTTCGTTGACCGTCATGCAGTGGCTTACAACTCCAAAGTTGTCATAATAAGTACTGTTGTTTTTTTAACTCTCCCATGAAACACGAAGAAGAGCAACTCACTGCCTTAAATTTCCCCCTTCAGAATATCAGGGAAGATGATTTTCTCTTTGAAGACTGAAACACATGTACAAACATGTGTTACGCTTCAAAACTTCTGTTAAACAATTGAAGTTTGAAATGCTTCGCTACTTAACATACAGTTTGAGATACGCTTTTTTTAGGTGGCTATTATTGAAGTTTAGGAGTTACTGCTTTAAGTGGTTTTTGCTTTCCAAGAAAGGGAAAGGTTTAACAACTGACCAAGACTTTCTGGGAGTGGGGCAAAACAATCTTTCACAGGAGAAAGTAGGGGTGGGAGGGGAGGGTTTCTCATTGCATTTTCCTGAAAATGAGGGGTATGGTATGTTTTGTAAAGTCCTAAACCATCCTTTCTGATAAACGAGAACAGAATGGACAGAAAGGTTTCTTATTGCACTCAAGAATGCTTCAACTATTGTATGGATTAGTTTGGATGCTTCTAGTAAACAACATTGTTCTGCATGAGTACCTATGAAGTGGAAATTGGTTCAAAAGAAATTTGTATAATATTTTAATGGCTGACTTGCCTTAAAATTTTAACTTCTACTCTTTTCATTGGTTTGTTTTATTTTTGGATGCAGATGTTGCATGGGATTTCCTAAGCAGTAGTTTATTTTTTTATTTACATATTGCAGAATGGAATGTTTATGTGTTCACTGAAGTGAAGACCTTTTGTATGCTAGTGTTAAACCTGACATGTATTTCTAACAGCTCTCTTTTTGCATGCAATTAAGCAAAGCTATCAAGCAGCAAGATTTTCTGCCTTCTACACTCTAACCTCTGCTATGTGGGTTTTTTTTTTTTTTGTAATTTGTATTGTTTTACCCCTTATATGTTTGCCACAACTTGGAAGTAATGTTTGATATGCCATTAGTCTGGTTTCATTCTTATTTGACTTCTTTTTCCTCTGCAGCTTTTCAATGTCAAAGGGAAATCATTCTTGACCCAGGTAATGTGTAATTTTATTTATTGATGTCAGAAAAAGGCAGGTGTGATGGGTAGTACACAAACATTTTAAAATGTGAAAAAATCAGCTTGCCCTTCAGTGAACTACTACTAAGGTTTACAAGCCTGGAGCACCAAAGAGCTAGTCCAAAATTAAGTTAACCTGAATTTTTAATTAAGTGTCAAGGTGTAATGGTAAGCTGTCGGTAAATTCAGAATTAAATGGCTATTACCTATGAACCAGAATTTAATTGTGCAACTTGCGATTAAAACATGATAGCCCATTGAGAGTTTTCACTAGCCCTGGGTGATTGGACAGCACTTTTGTTGTATCCTGCTACTTACTAACTTAGTTCACAGATTAAACTGCAAGGTTTGGATTGAATCTTTCCCCTTTGATTTACACCATAAGCCCTTTGATTGAGCAGTAAATTGATGGGGAGATTCTTACCATGCATACAATTTGAAACTTGGGATAGCAAGATATTTATCTATCTAATTTTTGTCTCATGGTTGCAGTGGACTTTTTTCTGGTCAGGAGGTTGCTAAGGGTGTAAATGATGTTAGTTTTTATTTTGTTGCTAAAGATGACCTGTTTGAACAAGAAACAATCAGAATGTGATACATTTTTCTCAAGTGTACTTTCTTGACCGTTGCAATGAAGTGCTAATTAACCTGCTTTGTAACTCATCTTTACAGTAACATAAAATCTATGACTAAATTCACATCTCAGAAAGAAATTAATGTTATTTCTAGTGTGACAGCTAAGAGCATAAGGAAGATGTTGTTTTGTCTTGTCACCAGAGTGGGACAAAGAAAAATTCTAAGTTCCCATTAGGAAATGAGGAACTCAGAATTTTCCTTTTGTTTTTTATTTGTTTGTCTGTTTGTTTGTTTTGCTTTTTGTTTTTCACAAGACGAAATAACAGTTAAACATTTACCATCTTTACCAACCTAAGTTGTCATTAAGTCTCATATCCAGGGTTCTTGTTAACATCCAGAGACAGTTTGATTTGACCAGATTTTCAAATGAATATCACTGGCTATTTCACTGAAATGTTTACCAAAATAAATATCTTACAAATGCCATTTTGTTTGAATGTGAAAACCCATTGGATTGAATGAAAAATCTTGCTCATCTTCTACCAACTGTAAAATTGTGTAGATCTATGCCTATGTGATGTTATTACATTCATAATACTTCATAATGTTTTGTCCTATTTTTGCAGATTACATATCCTACCACAGACAACAATCACAAGACAGAGACCATAACTTTAATGAATATCCACAAAGCTTCAATGACAGAAGGGAGATCACACTGGGTCAGGAGGATGACTCAGAATGGATGAATGAAAATGAATATGAAATTGAAAGAGAGGAGAGGAATTTAGGACTAAACGCACCTTTAATAAATGGTGATACTCACCATGATAAAATAACTTTTCATGAAGATCATGGGTCTTTACCACCTGGGGTTCCTGTGAATCGGGATGAGATTGACAACAAAAACAATGGAAATTTAAGATATGATAAAAGAAATCAAAAGACTGCAGATTATGGCGTAAGACACAGACAAGATTCCACTTTTCATGAAGATCATGGGCCTTTACCACCAGAGGATCTTGTAAATTGGGACAAGATCAACAACAAAAACAATGGAAATTTAAGATCTGATAAAAGAAATCAAAAGAGTGTAGATTCTGACAGTTATGATAATTTCAAAGCAAGGAGACATATACGACACAGACAAGATTCCATTAGTAGCGACTCTGTAGGTAGGAGGTATGATACACATGATTCTTTTCAAGATAGCAAAGAAGTTGTAGAAAATAAAGAAAAATTTGAAGATTCCCATGGAGCAGCCAAACCCAATCTAGCAAGGTCATCTAAGAAAAGTTCTGTTTTCAACTCAGAAGTTAGTGGTGGAAAGAGGTCTGAGGAGAAATCAGCGGATGCAAAGTCTTTTACTGATGAAAAGAAGATCCCACCTGTTCCCCTTGCAAGTGAGGGGGGCTCAATGCTAGAGGATAATTCCCATCTCCAAGGAAACCAGTTACTGACTGAAAAAGCGGCTTTTGTAGAAGAGGCAGCGGCTGACGCTAAGGTTGCTGCAGGAAAAGTCATGGTGAAGGGAAAAGTCCAACAAGTCAAAGCTGACATTGATCAGGGGCCAAATCCAGAGAAGACCTACAAGCGTGTGGAAGATTTCTTTCAATCTCAGAGAGAAAGCTCCATAGTTGAAGTTCCAAATTCTGTCAAGAAAGAAGAGGCTTCGAAGCTGTTCAAGGAAAACTTCATACCTGTAAAAGAAGATGGTAGTGATCAGATAAACAAGGAGCAAGGTAATATATCCTTATTCCTTTTCCATGCACGAACAACATTGATTGAAAAGTTATTGCCAAGAAAAAAGTAATTTCAAAAGCAAAATAGTACATTATCCAACAACCTGATTTTATGATTTTCAGAAAGTTTTCATGTAGTACATACTCTCATTAAGTTACCCATACTGAAAATTTCAAGCTGGGATAATTTACAGCGCCACAGTGAAAAATGGCAGAAATGATCTCAAAAGTGCAAATTAGTTCTTGAGAAATTAACCTATGATTTTATCTTGGAGAAACATGGAATCACTATTGATACAAAGAATCTATGAGAACTACTTATGCACCTTATTGTTAGTAGATGACACAAAGTTCAAGGCAGTTAGGTTTAAATTTTGTTCTTTACCTTTCAGCTGATTCCTCTTTGCACAAGGACGGAGAAATAAAGCTGTCTTTGAACAAAAAGTAAGTTGAACACTTTTATTTCATATTCATTTAAAGTTTGTATTCTTTGTCTTGATGTCCTGAGACAACCAAAATCAAATTGAAATTTTTTTAAAATTTCTAATCTTGAAAAAAATAGAAACAGTACAGATATGTCTTGATGTATACTAACATCGTCTTCACCTCGCCTTAAAGCTTTAAGTCTTGTGGGAAGTAAGCTGGAAGGGAATTTCATTTTCATTTGTAACTTTATAGTTAGGCAAAAGTAACAAATTCACTAATCTTTGAGTAGAACTTGGGTTTTTTTGATATTGCTTTCCTCTATAAATTTAAGAGCCCTTAAAAAAATTTGTTAGGGCTCTTAAATTTAGAAGAGTGACATATTGTTAGGAAAAGTGGCATACAACATTTAATACTACAACTGAAAAAAAAAAATTTTCTAACCAACGACAGTAACACACACGGTTAATTTATTATGGAAGTTTGTCAAAGTGAAACTGATAAATAATTTTGGTGACTTAAAGTCATTAATTTTTTTGATGCACTGTGTACACAGCATAACCACAACCCAAGCCAAATTACTCGCAGCAGCACTTCAGAATGCACTTTGGAACAATGCGCCATCTCCCATGTTTACTGTGACGAAGTAAGCTAACAGACTTGTAATCACCCATATGCATTCTAACAGATCAGTTTACAGGTTACATACTGTTAACAGTGGCAAAACTGCTCTATATTTACTTAAAATATGGCAAAACCAATGTTTTTGTAATTTTAGGCCATTTCTTGCTAAGAGTGCACATGACTAACACACTTTAACATGGCAGTTCAAGTAATTAAAGATTTCAAAATTTTGGGTTTTTCAAATTGGTTTTGAAACTCATTTAAGATAGACTTATTTTCATTATTGTAACTTTTTTAATGTGAAAAGTTAAACAGATAAATTTGTTAAAATTAAATCTGAAAATCCTCAGTTAGTATACAAATACTCTCTAACCATTCATTCCAAATGAACTTGACAATTTTTTTCTCACACAAGTTGAGTGTATCTTGTTTACACTAATGCCAACTTCTCAATCTTCCTTTAATTTTTATTGCCTTTTTTTAGACTTGCTTTTGATGAATAATTTTGAGGGAGCACAAAACTCCAAGTGTATTAATATCAGTTCTCTACAATATCATAATAATGATGCACAGTCTCTGATAGACCATTGGTTTTTGTTGTTGTTGTTGTTATTGAACTAGAGGTAACATTCCTCCACATTAAACCTGCTTCTTGTTTGTCTTCCACAGAGTTCAAGATTCCAACATCCATGTAAAGATGGCGCAGACAAAGTACACACTTGAAAAACCTGAGGATGTAGCTGAAAGGATTAAAAAAGGTACTTAATATGCACAGGGATGCAAATGTGTGACTGAAATCCAAAGTTAGGTCTGTAACCCAGGATTCATAAGGTTGCAGAAAAATTGGAAAATTATGGAATTTTCAAAATTTTTTAGATTTGGAAATTCATGGAACTAGGGTGTGGGTCTTGGAAAATTATCCATTTATTTCTCAGAATAAAATGTTAGAGATGAAATTATGGCATTTTGAATCCCTTTTCTGGATTTTTGGTGCAGGAAAACATTGAAAAGTTCTTAGGACATCATATGATTGTAAAGGTTTGGAAGGAAACAAACCTAGTGATTTTATTTCACAAATGGAACTTACAGCTCTCCTAGGTTATGATTAGAAAATTTTACTGATCGGTCATGCTGCTTTGATTTGAGGTGTTAGAATGTCTATTACTTTAGAGCTATAGTCTGAGTTTCAGTGGTCTCTTCTGTGCCCCCCCCCCCCCCCCCTTGGGGTAAAGGGAAAAGACAGCTGAAATTCAAACTTTTTAGAGCTCAAGCTTTTAAACCTTAATTAAACTCCCACAAAGAGCCTGGACAGAATTTCTCCTTGCAACATCAGTCCTATACCAAATGAACAGGTGACAAGAATAAAGAAAGATATTAATTGGAGGATGGTTTGCTGATCCAAAACCAAATTCTCAAGAGAAATGTAATAAGAATTATATAGCAAACAGTAAGGAGAATTACTAAAGAGATCATGAGAGTGAAAGTTAAGGGTCTGCAACATTTACGTCACAAAGATTACTTGTCCCACCAAAAATTAAATTTATGTAATATTCCTATGTATATGTGCACGATCCTTCGCAGTAAAGCACTATTTGAGCAATAGTGAAAATCAGACCTGGAAAAAAAAAAAAAAATTTCAGGCCTGTACGGGATTCAAACCACTGACCTCTGCGATACTAGTGCAGCGCTCTACCAATTGAGCTAACAAGCCAACTGGGAGCAGGCCATCAAATTAATTCGACATAAACCCGTAGATGATAAATCAAACAACAACAAACATATGAAACATATGTATGAACTGCGGTTATGAAACGTATATGTGCACGATCCTTCGCAGTAAAGCACTATTTGAGCAATAGTGAAAATCAGACCTGAAAAAAATTTCAGGCCTGTACGGGATTCGAACCACTGACCTCTGCGATACTAGTGCAGCGCTCTACCAATTGAGCTATGTTAACAATTTTTTGTTTAAAATATTTTTGTTTTGTTTTGTTCAGAACCCAGTGTTAAGAGTGATGTCGCCCAGAACAGTGGGTTAGAGATTGTTTCAGCTGATTTTGAAGATGCATCTGTGAGTTTTTTGTTTAATCCTCTATACAGAAACTGGTTGATATGAATCACATTTCTTGCTGTTAAATTTGATAATATTTTTACCATTCTGCACATTCTTTTTTTTTTTTTTTTTTTGACCCAGAAACCCTTTTAACTATTGATTGATTAACATGTTACTTCTCCACACAATTTCAGTACATAATCCAGTAAACAAGTTATGAGAATATATGGACTTATCAGCAATATTAAACTCACTTCACAATAATTAATACGTGTAGAAACTGTAAAGTGTTTGGAAGGAAGAGTCATTAATCAGATGTGTTTTTTTAGAGTTGGTTATAATGTAAAACCAGAAAATTTCCTGAAAAAATAGTTTTCACTTCAGATGAGAAAGATAGGTGTTGTCTAAACATTGGTATTTATTTGTATTTTGATATTCTTCAATTTTGCCATCTGTGCCCTCGTGTTAGTTTTTCCCTGCAGTTTACAAGTGCAGTATTGAGATTTTTCTTTTGTTTACTCTTCAAGCAGCTTGTCATTACTTTAAATAAGTTTCCTAAAAGCATAGTAATTAGCCTGCTATTACATAACCAGCTCTCCTAACTTATCAAAAACAACTCAGCAGATTTTGAGTTGTAAATAGTTACTTGATATACTTGTATCAGCCTAGTTTTGTAGTGTGTATGCCATTTTTTTATTTTTTTTAATGCTAGGATGGGCTATATGTGTACACAGAGTGAAGCAAATAAATGCCATACTCATCAGCTGTTTCTGGCTAAAATCAGATTTTAGCATATGAATTAAAGATTTAGCAGAGGAGTCTTTGAATCTGTCAATTTTACAACACAAAATAATTACTTTCTAAAAAAGGTGTCATGTTACATCTTAAATATTTTTAGACTGCTTTTAGAGGTCTTTTTTCTTTTGTTTTTGGAGAACACTGTTTTGAAGTGAAATAGTTTTTTTTTTTTTTTGCAAGCAAACATTTTCAAAGTTTATTCACAGCTTCTATTGTCAAAGATTTAAAGATTAAATCCTTGTTTGCTCAATCCAAACCTTTAATTTATCACATGATAATTTTGCATGAATGACTTTGAATATATGAAAATTATATAAATTATGTCTACTGCAGTTTCATGAAATGTGTGAATGCAATCCTTGCAGTAATGAACCCTACTTATGTAGTAGTGGAAACAAGGCCTGGAAAAAGAAAATTGGCCTGTCCAGGGATTTTTTTTTTTGTTTGTTTCAGATCACTTTTATACAATCTTGCATGAATTAGATAAAAATAAAATATGTATTAGGCATGGCCTTGTATGGAGAAGAAAACATTAAATTATTCAGGCATGCATGTCATTCATTTCTCATGAATTAGTTATGAATTCTACAGAAGGTTTCTTTGTTATTGAAAACTGTGAATAATACATATATATGGTAGAACAAGTTTCATTGAGTGAAAGCTTCAGTCTGTGAGCTGCCGGTAACATTGATACACCTCTGTTATGAAACAGAAGTAAGTATTCTGGGTGAAATTTACCCACACAGTTTTGATTCTAGATCTCTTGAAAAAAGTGGATTTTGTAAAACTTTGAAATTTTCATATCTTCAGTATTATTTTTTTAGTGATGGTTCAAGAAATTTCAGAATCTTTGTTAAGCCATGATTGATCAAACTCACAATTTTCTCAAGTTATACACAGGGGTTGTTGACAAGCTTCATCTCAAGTATTTTCTGTCTTTGAAATGATAGATTTTGATTTTTTGATTAAGAATGATACTTCTTGGTTAATATCACTCACTAAATTGTGTGGCATTTCTAAAAGACAATATTGATGTATTTGTAAATCAGAATATTGGGTTTATTTAGATTTATGTTCAGAGGTGTTATGCTAATTTTGTTTCAAGTGCACTTTCTCCCTAATAGAGGTTGTTTGTTAGAATTTTTTGTTCCTAAAATCGATGTCATTCTTTTTCTTCTAAAAAGTAATACTTTATGAATGTAATTATTTCTACAGATAAATTGGGCAAATAGTTCTGGGAGCATGTCACTACAGATGAAACTTTAAACTTGTTCCGGACTGTGTTTATCATTAAATTACTTTCAAGGAGAACTGTGCTTTTAAGTCTTCATTCCAAATTCAAATGAGAACTTATGAGATTTTACTATATCATTTGCAACTAACGTGCACCTTGAATTTATAGTAACTTTTTCACTTTTTGTGCTTTCATTTTATTCGAGAAAGGATAGATAAAACTTCAGAATCTGTAACTTCTAGCATGTAGACTCAACACACAGATAACAATACAAAGCCACATTTCAGCAAAATAATTGCTCAACTCAGAATACAGTGCCTATATACTGCAAATCTAAACTATTGATAATTGGGTAAAAATAAACTAAATTGCAACGTGCACTCTTCAAGAGAAACAGCACTTAAATTAGATTCTTAAAAGTTTAATTAACTGTCAGTAGCTTTTATTGTTTATACGTGCTCTTATTCATTTTCATGGGAGATTGACCTTCCCAATCATATACTTTGGTTCAATTGCCAGCGGCTTGAAAAATTCACTGACAAATGTAACTTTCTTCTTTATCAAAGAACAAGGATGTAAAGGGAAATCCCCAGAGATCTGTGAAAACTCAGCAGCCAAAGTATTTCCTCGTAACGATCATTGTTGTGGGCTGTGTCACTGGAGTAATTCTGACAGCAGTTGCAATTTATCTCATAATGAGAAGGTAAGTGTCTCTTATTAATATACTTAGTCTAGTAATTTTTACTGTAATTCCTGTATCCAATTTACTTTTCTAAATTGAGCCTCAAATTTTTGGAGTAACCCTTGTGTTTTTTGAGAGTACATGGTGAAATGCACCAGTTGCTGGCTTATTTTGACAACACAGCAAAAGCATGCATTTTTGGGGACTTCTATCTGTTTAATCCACTTCACATACTATGGGATGTTATCAGTTGATATGAATTAGTGCTGCAAAATAAAACTGCGTGTTTACATCAAACTGTGGTTTATTAGCTGCCACCAATTATTGTCAGTTAACTGATGGCCATTTATTTATAATTATTGCTTGCTTCATTTATTTAATCAATGATTGGCCATTGTCATTGTTTTTCTAGGCACAATGAAGCAAATTTCAAACCTGTTACTCTTCCTGGTCAAGAAGCAGCAGCTGATTACCAGGTAAGGCCATTTATTTGATAACAGTTTACTTTGTGAAATTGTTACAGTCGGGTTACAAACCGAATAGCAATCTTGTTTAGAGTAGTACATCCACTTTCAAACCTTACGCATTGCTATCTCTTGATATGTTTTTATCCTTTTGGTTCAGGAATTGTGTCGACAGCTGCGGGCAACTCAAGGGTGGGACAGTGCACCTGTGAAGACCACATCCTTACAGCATGGGGAAAAAGAGAAGGGACTGGGAAGCGGAAGGGCACCCAAATACTCATGGTAAGACGCAAATGAGACAGAAATTTGTATGAGTTCAGTAATGCTATAGCTTCTTTTCCTCTCTAACTAATTTCAGTCAGTATATAATACAAATTAATGCACCTTTGGATAGTATAAGTCAGATTGGTGTTCAGGAAGAGACCTGGATTGATCATTGATGTGTTCCTGTTTCGACAAATAAATGCTTGTTGATTAACGTTTTCCAAACTGAAAATTTGTAGACATTTTGAGAGATAGTGAGACACAGATAGCAGCTATTTTAAAATTTGAGTTTTTAGTAGGATGTTTTGTTCTTTTATGGTTGCCACCATGATCTCTTCTGTTTTCCTTGAAGAAACTACAAACAAAAAAGCTTTTGTTAACAATAAAAGGAAAAATCATTTTGCAGTACAATTCACAACCATGCAGAAACCAATATTTGGGGGATTGTTTTCCCATTGTAACAGACGTCTGTGTCCCTTGACTTGCGGCATTCATTTACAAGTCTGTAAAACAAGCCTCATATCAACTCAGAACTTGCAGTTTAACTGAGTTCATTTCTATGCTTTCTAGGAGTGAAGAGCCTGTTGTACCCAACATGGACATTTCTACTGGACATGTTGTTTTGGTATGTGGTTTGTTTTTCTTTTCTTCTACAGGCAAATTGTCCAAAATAATGTTAATTTGTAGGCTAGCTTCCCTAGACTTGGAAAAAGAACAGGCCATTCAGAGGAGGTGTGATATTTTTTCCCCATTTGAAACAACCATTATGATAATGTTGAGAACTCTCCTCAATCCAACCTGATTTGGGGTTCTATTTGAACAATTTGCATAGCTTCTACTGATTGAAGGGCTTCATTGTTATATATTTAGCATGGAAGTAGAAAAGTAAGGTTGTATGGAGTGAGTGTCAGGGCTCAACACTACCTTTTCAACTTACTTAGCCAAGTGGCTAGTGACATCTTAGATGTTACAACAATTTCAGTTTGTTTACTAGCCAAACTGGCAAGTGGAAATCGAAAACCACCAGCTAAAACTGAATTTCTACTAGTTATGTGCCAAAAAGCTTCTAACAGTCCATTATTTTTCTGAATATATCAACAAAGTTGAAATGGTAAATTGGCCACCGTTACAATTATAAATGCTGATGTTTCGAGCGTGAGCCCTTCGTCGGAGCAAATAGAAAAGTTGTGGGTTGTGTGTGCTTTTAAAGGCAGAAAATGGAGCTGCGTTATCGGTGGGAACATGGCAATGAGAAAAACACGAATAAATTAGACTGTCGTTTTGAAAGATGAGCTTTTGTTCAAGAGTTTTACGGCTTTCCATGCTACCTAAGTGTAAGGAAAGACCACAGACTGCCATATGTTGCTTAGAATGATGAGGTAATTGAGAGCTTTGTTACCCTATGATGAAGCAACCAGTGTACTTCTCCATTTACTGAATAAATTACGTCTTCCTCTGCATTTTGTTAGAGAAATGATTGTTCTGAAGATTTTTTTGTTGTATGAAGTCTTGAATAGCTATTGGAATTTCTTATGTTTTAGTCCTACATGGAGGACCATCTTAACAACAAAGACAGGCTGAACAAAGAATGGGAGGTAATGGAATTAATTTGTTTTTATTATTTCCCTATTTTTGTGGCATTACCCTGAAATTTCCGATTGACCATGAAAATTAATGCAGGACTCCATTAATTAGGTTTGCTGTACTATGTTCTTTTAGTGGTTTAGCCCATTAATTCCCAGAAGTGATTAACGTACAACTTCTTCCTGTTGTTTATACATTAACCAGGAAACAGGTAATGAGAATATATGAACTTATCAAGTAGAAGTTGATATCGATTAAACACCAAATTCTTGTCACTAATTTACAAGGAATTTTAAAAACAGCAAGAGGAGAGAATTAAGTTTTTTTGTTTTTAAGGGTAACAAATTGAGTTTTGATAGGCAATCTCTGGTGTGTCCTTTCATTCTTATTGACCATAATAATATATAGATTTAGCCAAGCCTAAAAGAAGAGCTCCAATTTTTTTTTTTTTCACACGTCTCAAGGGCACAATGCCTTGCTTTAGCCAGGACTAGAACCTGGGTCATCTGACACGGAGCCCAGTGCACTGACCACTAGACTACTGGACAAAGCCGTGGCATTGGCATGCCCGCAGTACAGTTCACCACACATGTTAAAAGTAGCACCTTGTACAGACACCCATACGGTCATAAGTCAAAATATTTTCAGCTTGATGGGTTACTACAACCATTTTGTATAATAATGGGGCTATGCTCGAGCTCTGTGAGCTCCTCTATTACTTAAGGTTATGTATGGTATTCACTTAAAAAGTATGCTGATATAAAGGTGTTCTGTTCATAAAATATTGAGTATATCTTACACTCAAAGTCAATGACAATTTTTCCCTTTATTGAAGGCTTTGAAAACATATGAAGCTGAGCCTAACAGCAGGGAAGTTGGAAAGCTGGAGAAGAATGCAAGAAAGAACCGTTACAGTGATGTTCTGCCCTGTTAGTATTATTTAAGCTTGGATGCTCTTGTTTGAAAAATTGCAGATAATTATGCCTTTCTGTGGGGTTGGATCAGTGAGCAAGCAAGACAAAATGATCCTACTTGAATTCACTCAAGATTTCTTGCATTTCCAGCTTTGTCGATTCTGAGCAACTTCTTTTTACATGTTTTACTGCCAGGGTTTTTTGTTGTTGTTTTCATTTTTATTGTATTGTTTAATTTTTTTTTTAAGAAACAGATTTTCATAACTCAAGAACCATACATCTTGAAGATGACCAAAATAAAGCCATGTCCAGTTTTGTGATGTTATTTTGATTTCTCTGTTTCATTCTTTTGACATTTCTTAACTGTTTGACTCCTAAAATTGACTAGCATCTAATTTCTCTTCAAAATATCACACCTGAATCACACATTGAGGTGTGAAATGTTCACCAACTAAGGAAGCTCTTGATTGTTCATCAAATTCTCCTTGTCAGCACTATAGGGAATGTATAGAGAGCAGTATAGAGAATATGCATACTGATGTTAGGTTGTAAAGGGTTAAGTCATTATTGGCCTTTCCTCTTTGGTCAACATGGCTACATATTGGCTTTTTTTTTTCTTTTTTTTTCTTTTGACAATTCAATGGTTATTGCCACTATCCATCTGTCTGAAACTAAACTTTTTTGGAAAATATTTAAAAATATATTTATTATTTATTGAAAGATAACAGAAAGTGCACAAAACCTGAAAAATAACTTAAAAACTGTAAGTGTTAATCCGATGAGTGTTGAGAAGTTTATATCCATTCCCCTCCATCTTGCAGATGACCATAACAGAGTTCTTCTAAAAGAGACAGCAAGTGCCACTGGGTCAGATTACATCAATGCCAGTTACATTGTAAGTTTGTTTAACTGTTTTGTTTTATTTTCTTGATTTCATCTAGCACAAGCTGAATTTTATTATTTGGTTGATACAAGACGTGCTTAATTAAAAGAATTTGTGGAAAACTGAGTCAGCTATGTAAGTCAGTCTTGCATGCTACACATTGCCTCTCTTTACAACTTAAATACCACCATACCCTCCAGAAGTCTATGAATGATATTCTGGCCAGTTTAGTTTGTGTGTGTCTGTGTGTGGCCGAGTGAGGTGGGAGGGGGATTGGATAATTGATAAATTTCTGTGTGAGGTAGACGAGTATTGTTTTTGAACTAGTGTAGCAATCAAGGGTGAGATACAAGAGAAAGGTGGCATTGGTGCCTTTTTACAGATGTAGGAATTGACAGTGATTTGATTGATTCCATAGACGGACCATGATCCCAAGAATCCTACCTATATCGCAACCCAGGGACCTGTGGCTCACACTGTATCAGACTTCTGGCAGGTAAAGATGTTGGGTTTACTGTGTTATTGTTGAATTTTTGTTGAAGTGCCCAGTAGAACAGTGGGGATTGTATTGCTACTTTAAATGAAACACTTCATTGTTGGAGTCTTTTCCGTAGCCTTTTCATAATTTCCAATTTCCGGCTTAGCAATTTTTGCAGAAGCTCATATATTTACAGAAAACCTTACATGATGTCTTGTACCTTGCAGATGGTGTGGGAGCAAGGTGTTGTTGTCATTGTTAACTTGACAAAACTTTCAGATCTTGGACTGGTGAGTGTCACTGAAATAAATAATAATAATAAAAATGCTATATATTTATATTCAAGAAGTGTGTGCTTTACTTGAGATCATGTTCTGTGAACATTTTAATATTTTTCCCAACATGTCAAGTTTTCAAAAAATTGTATGCAGTGCTTACTTTTTTTTTTTTTGCAAAGTTTGGTACTTAATCAAGGAAGAATTCTTAGAATACTTCATGACGTAACCTCATATAATTTGTAGGTTGAAAACAAACTTTAGGAGCTCTTAGATGAACAGTTAAAAGTATGCAAGGAATTTTTCCGCATAATTTTTTTTTTTTAAATTTGTAGTCAAATAAAATTTGTTTTCATTCTCAATAGTAAACAACAAACCAGTTTTGAAGTCCGAGTTTCAGTCTTTCAAATGCTTCTTTAAAATGTAGAGCATTCACCACTTAAGCAGTAAATTCCACTTTCTGTTGATTAGTGGTGTAATCATGGGCTGAATAGATGTTGCCAGAACTCAAGTTTGTAAATCACTAAATAACTTGGATATATCAACAAAGTTGAAGTGGTAAATTGGCCACCGTAACGATTACAAAAGCTGACATTTCAAGCATTAGCCCTTCGTCATTCGCTCCAACGAAGGGCTAACGCTTGAAACGCCATCGTGCATTCAGACCAAACGTGCGGTGTGGTCGGCCGCACTATCTTCTCGAATTTGAAGTTATTTCATTACTCCCACCGACGCAGCCCCAAACAGTTTCTTTCAAAACTATCAGCCTTTATTCATTTGTAAATCACTAGCCAGAGGAATGATTTAAAGTTTTCAAGTATTCTCCCAACTTTCCAAGTGGGTTATTGGGCTGGTAAACCGACAGAAAGTGTGTGGACTTTGGCTTTTTTGGAATAAACTTCAATTGTCTATGGGTTTACTGGTACAATAAAAGACAGGTTTTTTTACCAGTCAGGGCACTTGTGGTGCCTCAGTCTGGTACCCAGTATTATTTGGTACGTTAGGGATCAATTTGATATTTTTCTTTGGTTTTGATACATGTCTTGACACATATCTTATTAGAGTGTTATAAAAACTATCAAGTGACGTGAGTTGCTGAAGAAAATGAACAGCCATATATTGATTATTTTCATTGCAGCCTCAGTGTCACAGATATTGGCCTGAAGAGCAGCAACCAATTGTAAAATATCGCATTTATGAGGTGAGCAATCACCAAAGACTACCAGTACTTAAAGCTTGATGGTCACTGTTTGAGCATTGATTTTTTTTTTTTTTCGAGATACAGTAGTCCTATGGGTCTTGCACTGGACTCTAAACAGAGGTAGGGGGGGTGGGATAGGGGGGGATTGGGTGAGGTTGCTGTGACATACCAGTATCCAGTCGAGGTGCTTGTGGAGAACTAATACTCCTGTTTGCATAGTGATGTAGGGACAAAGCCTAAAGCCTTTACTGGCAACTTTTGCACCCTAACACAAGAGAACATATTCTCCATTGGTAGATGTAATAGGAAAAAAATTCTGAAGACAACTTAATTGACTTGGCCATAGGCCAAGTCAATTTGGCTGTCGGAGGAATATTTTTTAATCCAATTATTTCCAAAATTGGACAAGCATGTAGTCCTCTTTCTTATTAGTTTTATGGCTAGTCAGTTGTAATTAGGCATTGCTCAGTTAAGCTATTATTCTTTAATTTTTATTTAAGCTGTCCAATTGAGGATTCATTTGGGTTGTTTAAAACTATCCAAATTAATCCTCAATTGGACAGTTTTAAAAAATTAAAGAACAATAGCTATGCTAACAATTTCAGATCAACTACCAGCTATACAATTACATTTCCTGTGGCGGTGATCAGGGTAATTTGTTTGAAAACCTTCATTAGACGTTTATTCTTGTGACCTTGATTAATATTTGATTTTGTGGCAATACTGTTAGGAGAAGTAATATGGCAATTGTCCTTGGGGGTCAAAACTGCAATGTTTGTAGTTTGAACCAGCAATAAACAGATCGGGATTACTGATAGAGATATTGTTTTTTTGTTGTTGTTGTTTTTTTTTTTTTTTGATGATAGGTTCATCTTGTCTCTGAACATATATGGTGTGAAGATTACTTAGTCCGAAGTTTTTACTTGAAGAACTTACAGGTTGGTTGGAATTTTCCTTAGATCCACTCTCAAACAATGCAGAATTTTGTAGACCATGTTGTGTTGAAATGATTGCAAATCATAGTTCAAGACAGTTGTTTAGAAAAAGCTCAGTTGACCAAACTAAATTATGTTATAATACCCCCAATACAGCACCACAGGTTCTTTACAAACTTGCCCCCTTAATTTGTTAAAAAAAAAAAAAGGACTTGGTTAATTAACTTAACTTTAAAAAAAATGTTGCTCAGAGTACAAGTGCCCATAAATTAAATGTATTGTACTTAAATTTTTTTTTCTCTTTTAATTGTGCATATTATGTAAAGTAAGGAGTTGTTTTGAGTGAAAATTTTTCTTTTCTTTTATATTCACAGACCAGTGAAACCAGAACAGTCACCCAATTTCATTTTCTTACCTGGCCTGATCTTAATGTTCCTTCAACACCCAAGCCTCTTCTGGAATTCAGACGGTAAACTATTTTTAAGCAAGGCTATTTAACTTTGGAAAAAGCCTCTAAAGAACACTTGAATTGTTGTAAGGGTAAATAAATGCTTCAGTCTTTCATTAAGACTCTTTGTGAGTTAAATTTTTGTGAGAAAACTCTTTAAGTACCTGTGGATAATTTTTGCTCATAATCAAATGATAATTGATGGTCGTTAGTTATTGCAGCTTCTGTAGAACTGTCAGACAGTGTGAACTGCAAAGGAAGTATGCATAAAAAGAGAATGTTTCCTTCATTCTGTGTCTATGCTGTGATGAAACCTGACATATAATCAACTAATTCTCATGTGCAGGAAAGTGAACAAATGCTTCAGAGGACGAGCCTCTCCTGTCATGGTACATTGCAGTGGAGGAGTTGGAAGGACTGGAACCTACATACTGATTGATATGGTGCTGAACAAGATGATGAGAGGCAAGTGATACTAGTTTTTTACACTGTCCTCTGATTGGTTAAGAAAGGATTAAGTACGTATGATGCACCATCCTCGCAGTAGAGAGCGCTATTTATGCAATAGCGAAAATCAGACCTGAAAAAAATCAGGCCTGTACGGGATTCGACCCACTGACCTCTGCGATGCTAGTGCAGCGCTCTACCAATTGAGCTAACAAGCCAACTGGGAGCAGGCCGTTAAGTTGATTCAAAACAAACCCATGATGATAAATCAGATACAATGAATATATTTTTTTTTTATTTAGGATCGTGCATCATACTTAGGGTCGTGCATCATAGTAGGATCGTGCATCATACGTAGGATCGTGCATCATACGTAGGATCGTGCATCATACGTAGGATCGTGCATCATACGTAGGATCGTGCATCATACGTATCTACAACCGCAGTTCAAAATATATGAACTTCATATATTCATTGTATCTGATTTATCATCATGGGTTTATTACGAATCAACTTAACGACCTGCTCCCAGTTGGCTTGTCAGCTCAATTGGTAGAGCGTTGCACTAGTATCGCAGAGGTCAGTGGTTCGAATCCCGTGCAGGCCTGATTTTTTTCAGGTCTGATTTTCGCTATTGCATAAATAGCGCTCTCAGCTGGGAGGATCACGCATCATACGTATCTACAACTGCAGTTCAAATATATGAACTTCATATATTCATTGTAAAGGATTAAGTGGTAGTCATATAATGGTTGCAGGGTGGATCAAGGCAATAAAATAGAAAATGACATTTTTAGCCAATTATTTGCACAAAGGCTTACATAGTCACAGACATGATGGAAACTTTCGAGAAAAACTTTTACATTGCTCTTTAATTAACTTCCATTTTAAGTTAACAATCATTTCTTAATTAAAACCAGTGGTGTATGTATGAAGCTGAAATATATCCCTGTGTTTGCTTATCTCAGGAGCCAAAGAAATTGACATTGCTGCCACTGTAGAACATCTACGTGACCAACGCCCTTCCATGGTTAAAACTAAGGTAATGTTAAATGACTACAGCATATTTTACAAGCCTGATCTCCACTTCCCCCTTTTAGCAAGATGAACTCCAATCCCTAGACCTTAGTGGAGTGTGGGAGACTTACATGTATGTTGTATGACTTTTAATGTGAGCTTTTCATCACTTGCAAGGATATTTTATGTACAATCCCTAAGTAAGTACCCTCCACCTAACATTTCAAAAAGAAATGTTTGAAATTGCTGGTACGTTACTGGTGCTTGAAAGTCCTGTTTTTCCCCCTAACAATGTTGCAAGAAATTAGTGACCATCTTGTCAACAAATTAGGGACTAAAGACCGCTTTCACAAATGGCTGCCAGATTAATATTCTTTTGTTTAAATTTAAATTAGCTCTTCTGGCCTTGCTTGGGATAATGTATTCTTTTGAATTTTGTACTGGAGAATGAGGCCAGAAGGGCTAATTTAAATTTAAACAAAAGAATATTAATCCGGCAGCCATTTATGAAAGTGGTCTATTTTGGTAACTCTGGGCAACAGGGAAAAAGGGGAGATTACAAGAAAGATATAGAAGAAATTCAAAGGTGATAGAGCATGCTGAGACTTTTGCCAATCTTTGTACCTCTGATATCTCAGGGTAGACTTGTTAGGTATAAAAATGAATGAATAAAATTGTGGCTGCAGTAGTGTTTTCTTACTGCCTAGGTAAGTGAGCAAAGTGGAATATTTTTAGTTACAATAATTTACTTTAAACTCAAGAAAAAACAAGAACACTTTTTGAACCAGGACGTACCACAAAGAAGTTGTTGGGTTGTATGTACAATATGCATGGTAGCCTGCCAAACTGATGCTTGATTAAACTGGCTGTAAGTGAGTTCAGTAAAAGGTCTGACATGTTGAGACATTTTTGTCTGAGAACAAGACACCCTGATAAAGAATCACTTTCATGTAACATTGCAACTTACTTCTTGACTGGAAATCAAAGAAATGCCTAAGAAAGAGCATGTCCTTTGAAAGTTCATAATAAGGTAGAACAAGTGCAAACTCTGGTCTTTTTCTCAGCAAAGTCTGGCTCTGGCATCTTGACAATTATAATTACCTTTTTTTTTTTATTTCATATGCAGGCTCAGTTTGAATTTGCCCTGACAGCTGTCGCAGAAGAAGTGAATGCGATCTTGCAAGCTCTTGCCAAATGATGATCATTGACCAGGAAAAAAAGTATTATATCAATGTAATTTATAATTTTGGTTTGTTCAGTTAGGACTAAACAGGCAAGGTGACAATTTTGTCTTTGAATTTTGTGAATTAAATTTTTTTCTTTGACCGAAAAAATTCAGTGGAACTTTGTTTGTATGATTTTTATGAAAATAGTGAAAATTATGTTATTTTATTTATGATATGTTGACCCTAAGTTGTGAATTTTCCCATGCTTTTAAGGCTAATCCTTTAACTCCCATGAGTGACCAAGAAATAATTTCTCCTTACAATATCAGTACCATATTAAGCAGACAAGAAATGAGAATTAAGAAAAATATCAATTCGTGAATTTAAAGTTCATCCAATACCAAATTCTCCAAACTAGCTTCATAAGAATTGTATGGTAGACAGTAAGGAGATTTTCTAATGAGATCGTGGGAGTGAAAGCTAGGGTTTTAATAGATAGGAAAGTTTTCTTTCTGAAAAGAAAATGAAAGCTTTTTTGGAAGTATTTTCATTCACCCTTCTGTATGAAAGTGGACCTCTTTTACTTGGAAGAGATCTGGAAGTAGGAAAGTTTTATTTTCTTTCTCCATAAAGTCTTTTCATTTTACTAGGAAAAAAGAAATTTATGTGTAGAGGGTTTTATTCGACTCTAATTCTTGTTGTAGATATTCTTTAGTTTGCAAGTTATTTATCTGAAAAAGAAAGAGAGCGTGTCTCTCCTGAGGGTTTTATTAGTGTTTCTTCAAAGTGGATTGGAAAAGAATCCAATAGTGAGGAGAAACGTTTTTTTTTTTCGGAAGTGCCTCTTCATACGCTATACACACAATTTACTTCTCTCAACTTTGAAGTGGGTACTTTTGTCTTTGTGTTAAAATGACAAATAACACTTTGATTTGTGAATCAATTGTTTTGTGTTTCTCTTGCATGGGGATGTGACAGTTATTTCCTTGTAGGCAACGAGCAACCTGATTTGTTTTGAAGAATTCTGTAGGGTAATTTTGTTTTTGTTTTTTTAACCAAGAATCTACTCATGGTTTACAGCTCTCTTAGTTCTGGAACAAATACAAAATGTATTGACCATCACAGAGCTAAATTGTGGTTTTTACACATTTCAAAGAAATTCTTGTGGCTGATCAAAGAAAATGCTCGATGTTTCTCATGAAAAGACTTTAATTTCTAATTTTTTTTAAAAATCTCATACGGGTATTTGTTGCCTCAGGGATAAATATTTTCTGTCACAGAATCAAAAGATAAGGGGAGCTCATAGTCATTGAGATCTTTTACTTAACCACAGGAGTAGATTAATCTTTATACTAACGTTGATTGTTAGTTTCCATTGTTCTGTTTATTATAATTGTTTTATTATACAATGACCCATGGAAAAAGTTGGAATAGAGATCTATTAGGGTCTAAGAGACATTGGGGTCGCTAAACAAAAGACCCTAGAAAATAGCTATCAGTCTGTCGGGGGGGGGGGGAAGAGAAATTCTTGATCTTTCTTAAACACCTGGTTGGGGGGGGCTTATTGTGTTTTGTGATTGGTCAGAATCCTCATTTATTTAATTTTGAGGAATACAATTTTTCTGTGGGCTTTTTTATTTTATTTTTTTTTTTAAGGAAAGTCAAAACAAGTCTTTCTCTGTTGTTGTAGACCTTGAGCACAACTTTTGTTTTGGTAGAAAAGAAGGGACTTTGGATCACCCAAACTCGGTACAGAATTAAACCATGATCTCTACTTCTCTCGTACTCGGATAATTGTGTCTGCAATTCTACAGGAACACGAAAGATGTTTTGCCTTTCCAAAATATAATCACAACACCAGAAAGAGATATATAAACACCAAGAATTAAATCTGCTAAACATTAAAAACGTTATGAAAGTTAATTCAACAAACTACGTTTCCCGTAGCACTAGATGTATAAAAGTTCACGTAAAAGGACAATATTATTTTTGTTTATATTTTTTGAGATTGACTAAGGGAATTATTAATTTGGTATGTTACGTTAGGTAATGCTATGTTCCAGCTATGGAACGATATTAGAGAGTATAACAGATAAATTAAAGTGGGATATTATTTACGCACTGATCAGCTAACAGAATGTTCTTTCCGCGTCATGTGAGGCAATTAGCTAATTGGTCAGTGATGTGCATCTCGATTCAATGTCGTTTAAACCAAAGTAATCAGTACAGCCAATCAGAATCGAGTGAAGTATCACTGGGAGCCAATGGAAAATCATATGTGCTTCAAGCGCGGGAAACGCCGGTGACCAAGTGGCTGTTGGTTTAAGTTTTGTCTCTGATTGGTTGGGAGCATGGCGTGATTTTTCTCGACCAATCAAAGAACGCTAAGAAACAAAACCAAAGCAATCATAATGCAGTCGCGGTTTGTTCTTCACATCCAGCGGCTGTAGAATATTGCTCTACATAAATGCCGTAACTATATTTCCTGACTCAAGTGCATCACTATGTCTAATCAGCATTCTGACACCTGTTGTCTAATAGGCATCCGTTAATGAAAACTACTTAAAATACTCACTGAAATTGATAGAAAAGCTTGACAAGTCTTAATCCCGAGGGATTCATCTGTCGGTCCGTTTTGCGCACTCGTACACCTGTGCTGAACCGACTGCCTTGAAGACGCCAGTAGAGGAATTTGAATCTTATCAGTTTTATCAATCTCTCTGGAATAGATTTAATAAAATGGAACTTCTCGGGATAAATTTTTTTCCGTCTTTTCTCTTAATTGTAGTGTAGAATACAAAGCAGATACCTTTTACACGACCTTTGTTGGGCCATCCTTTCTAGGAACTTTGATATTCTTAGAGAATGGCGAAGCTCGGATTTTTGGGAGCTATTCGTTGTGCACTTTTTCGGAATTTTCCCTTGAATGGATGAGCTATTTGTAGTCGGTCACCCTTATCATAGTGGGCTACGCTGACCCAACGGTTGATGGGCCCAACAACGGTTTCGAGACTTGGCTGAGTAGTGATGTTGTAGTCTTGGACTGGCCCCGGCTATGCGAAATTTGGAGAACGACATTGACTCACTGGATGAATCTCTATCCATTGGAAAGCACAGCGCGTTTTGTTAACACTGATCTGCTGGGTAGCGATCACTGTCCTTTAAATATGGGCAAAATATCAGGGAAGCCTGATTAAATGCTGAGGGAAGGAGGGGGAAGGGGTAACCTTGCGATGGACTGGGATACCATCCAGGGGTGAATAGTGACATACCAAGTCGCTTTATACTAATTGAAACCGATTGAAACCGGGATAAATTATCCTTTACCCCCACTATGGTGGTATGCACCAACAGGGAGTATAAGGGTGCATGGGCTTTTGCCGTTTTATTGTGAAGAATTTGCTCAGAATTGTTTCTAGGCATAAATTTTTTTATCTGAAGGGTTATTATTTGTGGAGAAACTGGAAATCTTTAAACACCCTTGGGGAGAGGGGTGTATTTCAGTGTTTGTGGCAACCCGCGCAGAGGCTCGAAAAGGCGGGAAAACCGTAGGATGACGTCACATCCTGTCGCGCGTGTGCTGGACAACAACAACAAAAAATAGCAGAAGAACAGAGATAGAAAGGAAGACAGATTTTTATTAGTGTGCTTTGCAGGGTAGGTCAAAGTCAATTACATTTCGTAGCTTTAGAACGTGGAGAACTTCGTTTGATAGCGCTTTAAAGGTATGCTAATTAAAAAATTTCGTAAAACTTTTTCCATTACTTGTTAGAACTTCATTCTAGAGTAAGGTTAGACGATGTTGTCGTTTTTCCTGAATTATGAAAGAATGCAATTTGGCTTTATCCTCACGATTTTTCTGTTCATTTTGTAAGAACAGCGGCTATCCAGGTTTTGTTCCCACCGTCCGAATGGCTTTGAAACAGCTACCGAAGAATTCTTGCAGCAAAGACGATTTTCAATTATTTGGGACAAACATGAACTTTCAACCGACAAATGACATTCCTAATCCCCCAGATTCGCGAAAAAAAGCTGTACAACATGACAAAGTAGCGCCACGCTATGAAGAAAGCTTTGTACAACCGGAGCCGCCGAAGAAACAGAAAGTCATTCATCCAAGTCACGTAAGCTCACTAAATCTTCGATCCATCAATCCATCAATCTACTTTTCTGCCACTGAATGCAGTGGAGGGCCCTTCCTTGCGTATAACCTTGGGAAAAGGTTTTCCGAAAATATAGCAAAAATCACAGACCTGTAAATACTGATGAAAAAAATTTTAGAAAAGATATTTTTTCTAACAATGTCCTTATTGACTGATAACAATCGCTCACTTATGGTTTCTAGGTGGCTCAAGGACAAGATCAAAGTCAGATAGGCAACACTTCAGATGATATCAAATCACAAGTACTGCACGGAGGTGAACCCAAAATGAGTCCAGTCACTGTCCTTCATAAGCTTTCGTTACTGTTGCTGTAGGCCTTCATTCGTGAGAAATCCTTTCGAGTCCTTAATCATGTTCCTAACATCTGGTCTGAGTGGTTAAATGATTAAATACTAGTATTTGACCTTGCTAACTACTTTTTCCCTATCATCATTATTTTTTCTTGCAGGTTCCTTTTTGCAGCTTGATAGTAGGGATTCGGGTAGCAGTGATGAAAAATCAAAACTCGAAGTCGTGTTGCGAGGTGTGTCATTTTGGTACACGATGCTCTGACTGACTTCACCTAATAATCCTTCAATAGATAGGGGAACCACCGTACATGATTTGGTTGGTTTCGGGTGATTTCACAATTCGGATTAACCCTTTAACTTCCTAGATCTGTTAGTTAATTCTCTCCTCTAGCCACCGCACATTTTCTTGTCACCTACTTACGAGAATTTTATGTTAGATCAAGATAACAACTTCTTGCTTGAGTTTTCTCATTACCTGTTTGCTGGATTAAGTATGGATAACATAAGGAGAAGTTACATGTCGATCACTTCTGGAAGTTGAGGGTTAAGGTCGATAGGACTGAGCTACGGGAAGGTTGTTTTCAATGGGGAGAAAGCAATACTGTAGTAACAGGCCTTTTTTAAAGAAAACACAAGTTATAGTATAAGCACTCAAACACTGTTTGGCAGGGGGAAAAGAGTCGAACTGTCATGTGTTTACGGTATAAGTTTTTTGTCTATTGGCTCACTGTGTGTGTGGTCGTTTTCTTTTCGTTCACAGAACTTGGTCAGGACATGAAGATGGTACATTTGAAGTGGGCACAACCCTTCGCGTAAGTTTGTTTTAAGAGTAATTTCCTTATTCGTCATACAGAAACAGACTTACCATTATAAAGATCGTTTTGTTTTAAAACCTTTTACTAAGCATTATTGTCTTTTAATAAAACGCCACAATTATGTGGAGTTCTGATGTTATTTTTGATAATTAACCATCGACACAGAATTTTATATTTATTTTCTTTATGCAATTTGTGTTGTGTCTTAAAAAGGTATGGTCTTCCTTAAAAAACACCACGCACACATATCATTTGTTATAAACTGACCCAGTCTCTCAAACAATGACCTCATTGCACGATTTGCTTTTATCTTTCCTTCAGGGAGGGTGAGTCTTTCGAAGGATATTGTCCAATCAGGCTTGACGAACTTCTTAAGGAAGCTCTGAGGCTTGAACAACACCTAGAGAAACAGAAAGAACGCCTGAGGGAGAGATTAACTCTGATTACAAAAACCCTTCAAATGCCTACCATGCAATGAACCGTATCTTAAACGTAAATTAACCGCTGTTAAATCTTTTAGCTGTTAGCTGTCTATTGCGATGGCCAGATTTACTAAATCACAGTTGAACAGAAAAGGTTTTTTCACCTGAAGACAAAACTTTATTGGAAACCTGTCAGACTAATTATGAACCAATGACTGGTCAGTTACCGATGGAAACCAAACATTCTAACATTTACAATCACTTTTGCAGTATTTAGCAGGACCTTTTTAGTGGCGATGAAGTGAATTCGCAAGCAATCTTTTTGTTTTGGTTACAGTGACTTTCCATTACGTCAGTTACTTCACTTTTATCATGAAAATTTACATTTGTCATTTTCTTCGTTTTTCATTCTTGAATCGCCTTAAAAAGGGGAAGAAATACAGAGATATTTAATATTTAAGTGAAGTATCCTCGCTGATACTTGTATTTTCAGACGACGGTTCAGCGACATAAATATTTACGGATTATCCGTGATAAAAGGCTTCCCTGAAACAAGGTTAGAAATAGAGTGCATATGTTGATTATGAGAAGTTCAAGTTCAAAACTTCAGTTAAGATGACAGTTCGCGACAAGTGAAGTGATGTTACTTTTTCCGGATGTTTGTGGAACATGTGACTTTGCTCACGTTTAGTAAAAGCTTTTTATATTGCCGGACTGGTAGCTGAGCGTTTTGGACAGCCACAAATATTACCGATTTTCTTATTTGAGCATACCTTGGAATCCTCATTGACTGACAACACAACAGTTGCCCTCACACGTGAATTTACAAAGTTCGTTTTATCCGTTATTCATTTCTTACGGTTTCATACGGAAAAAAGTAAATTAATAATTTCCTCCTTAACTTGCCACTGCAAGTCGTAAGGAAATGGCTTGGATGAAACTGTGGCTAAAAATAGGACCTCGTTGTTTATCGTATTCACAATCTTTGCAGTATAGATTCTAACAATTCATGATATGACAATCAAGGTTTTTTGAGCTACTTAACGACACGTCTGGAAATGTTTGATTGCGCAGAAAAAAACTGTACATGACAATGATCAGTTTTCGACAATCAGATATTATCGAGATTTCTGTTTACATTTCTCCCCCGCTTAAAAGGTTTAATAATCATATCAACTTTTTCCTCGACAAGTTTTAATTGTGTCAACCGGCTTTAAATAGCTTAAGGAAAAAGTCACGGTACCAACATAGATCAAATGTTATCATATATTGTTTTTGGACTCTCAGGAACCCAGACATGTCCTTCTGTCAAATACTACTTGGTCATCATGAAAGCCTTGCTCAATATCTAGACGATGTTCATTTAGACGCTGAATTTTGTTAGTTTGGTGAGATCTTGTCCTTTCTTATACAGATAAGTTTATGTTACTGGACACTGAACGCTTCGGGTTAGTCGTAATTTGGTTTGCATTTATCTTAGCTGCTTTGACTTGCCGCGATACGGAAAACAACGGCGAAGAGAAATATCAGTCAACTTGGGTCGCCGCAATTTGAAACAATAACGCCATAAAGCATGTTTAATGACAGCAAATATCTTTAAAAAATCAGCGCATTCTCTTCGATTGCGCTGGTCGATTATATTCGATGTTGTCGGAACGAGACCAAAGTGGTACGTAGTTTACACTTTGTTGACATTTCCAACTCGGGCTCAATCAAACCTTTTTATAACGATGGTATACCGAAAGTAGTGAGCGCTGATAAGACTCATTTGGTTTTCAAAACAGGTTTCTAACACGTATCTGTGACAAGTAAGTGTACTGATAAATCTATTTGTCAACTTTTCAAAATAATTTTATGCCCTCTGTAAGGAGTACTATATTTGGGAATGAGAAAATCTATGCTGCCAAACTCACTCCCTGTCTGTGAGGGTCACACCCTAATAAGAGTGTAGATTAGGTCTCAATGATTCTATGAAAACAGTTCTTTCTTCATATTCTTTGTTAATATCACGATTTACTGCTAAGTTCTTGCTGATAAGTGGATTCAAGTATTGATAAGAGGCATGTTCAAAACGGTCTCGTTTGGAATTTCCTGACGAACTGAGTGCAAACAGTTACGTCAGAATGAGATATAGCTGGTATAGCGGTGAAGAGTAATGCAATGGGCTGTTTCTCGTGGAGAATAATGATTTTGAGCGATTTCATTTGTATGGGGTGTGTTGGTAAAATTGAATCAGTCACTGGCTTGAAGACTGATGGCCCTGAAGGGCAAAGGTCGGTGCATATGTGCACATGCACGAGGGGATAAATGTGCAAGCGAGTGATTTCATATGACTAACTATTCGTGTCTACTGCTCAAGACAAATGCGACTTGTCCTACGAGTTTCAAACTTGCTTGAATTCTTGAAAAAATTCACAACTGACCTTTCCCTCCAACTTCTTGTGATGTGATGGTCGTCCATCGATGCGAGATTTTCTGCTTTAAGCGACATTCTTCCCAATGAGCTCTGAGTGGTGCAGACCTTGTAGATTTTCGATTTCGCCTCCTGAATAACGAGGTTGAAATGTTATTAAATCTATCCTCTCTTGAGTTAAAATTAAAGGCCCATGGTTCACGTGGTGCACGATAGGACCTCCTAACTATACCCGTTCTTACCTTAGCATTTTTTTTTTTCATAAAATCAATCTCTAAATAGACGCGGCTTTATGATGTCTTTATACCACATAAAGTAATTGTGTGTCTTGAACAGGGCCATGGGTTGAAACCCTCGGCGGCACATTTGCACTCAAACTTGCCTTTAAAGAGAAAATTATGCTCTAGAAACCTTGGAGGACTTTTCGGTATTTACGTGACCTCGCGGAGGCTTGGAGGATTTAAGAAAGCTCGACAACTCTCTCAACCATGTTTTCGCTTTCCCCTTTCCGTATTTCTAGCTCGAGAAAGAATCAGGCGCAACTTGAATAAAAGCCATCTGACGAGTGTTTCCTGTCTACTTTTGAAGGCGCTCGAAAGGGCAGCGAAAGATTGCTCTAAGTAAAACTATATTTATACGGTTCAGGATGACGGAATTTTCTACCAACTGAAATATATGACAGGGCATTATTTTCCTTACAGAAACAAGCAATGATTTTTCGTTCCGGGCTAGTCTATGAAAAGCTATCTTGTTTTTTTTTTTTTTTTGGTTAGGAGGAAGCCGCTGTAAAGGGACCTCGCGACACTGAGCGCGGAGCAAGAAAAAAAATTATTATTTCTCCACAACTAGCCCACCCTCTTTCGTGGTTGGGTTCGCAAAATCGTCGAAATCCTCTAATCCAAGGGAAAATAGAAAGCTATGAACAACCTAATCTATTTACACGAATCTGTCGGACCTAATCAAGCCAATAAACTCAAATGGATTTATTCGCACATATCCCTCATAAGCAAATTCTTGTAATTGATTCTTAAATAATTGTTAAAACTCCTCGTAATTGTTGCACAATGAAATAAACGGTACACGATCTGAGCAACAGCGTGGAAGGAAATGGGTAAGAGCGCCCACCGTCAAAATATTAATTCCTTTTTCAACTTCTTCTGTATGGTCTAAAGATAATTTTGGAGTTTATCCAACGATGCCTCTGCTGATCACTGACTTCCTGTAAGTATATTCGTTTTGTATTTTCCGCCGGAATTAGCCCAGTAATTCGAGGGTGCTGAATACTGATTTAATTATGTTTGCCAGCTGGCTCTTGGCCTAAAGCAGCAACGAATAATTCAGTATGATGATCGAACCAATTTTAGTATACCCTGATTCAGAAAAAGGAAGCAATTATTTCTGTGGCTCTTATGTTAAATACCAACCTTTTCCTAACTTATGCATCCTTGTCTTGGCAAAAGAGATGGATCCCCTGAGACTGAGAGTACTACGTATACTGCAGGCAGTGTATTGTGATATCAGTATAATTACAAGGTCAAGCACAGGGTACCCACACATAAGGTTAACGTTTGTACATTTGAATTTCGAGGGAAATGAAATACTTCGTGTCATCGTTTTGACTTGCAGTGGACATTCTCATCTGACACTAAAATTATTGTAGTTTTTCTTGGTATGTCGTATATTTCTATGGCTGGACACAAAGAAAGTTTGCTATTTGAAGTGTTCGGCAACCGAAACACATTGAGTGCATAGTAGAACGACTTCATAAGGTGAAGCAAGTTTTTTTCGTGTTAAGTGAGAATATTAGTCGTATGATATTATGACGCTTTTTGATTATCCCATACACTTTCTCAAAATCAAAATATTCACAGTCACACAGCGGGGTTTGTGTGGGATCCCTGTGGGTTGGATCAAATTAACATTGACCTGAGAGATGAAAGAGCCCAATTTCTTTGCAGACAGTAGTGACCAGCTCTAAAGCTACATCGTACGTTAAATTTGAAGATCTCAAATTTTACGCGGATTTACAAGAAAATAGTTTCCTCAGGTTCAACGTTTTCGCGGGAGAAAAGGATGAGAAGAGTCTTATTATTTTTATTATTTCTTTTTTGCGGCATTTTTATCAAAGATAATTACTAACTGTTTACCGAGGTGGAGGTGGCTCATATCCACCGCTAGCCACCGACACAGAGATGAATACCAGTTTTTGTGTATACCAAAACAGTGAGATGGTATGACGATTTTAACTCATTTACTTTATTCGTGCAAGGATTACAATATTTTCGGACACGAATCCCCTGCGCGAATTCTCGGAGATGAAGCGTAAAGGATATTCGGAGTTAAAGTAGACAATCAGAGCGCACCCTTTTCAATCAGGTACGCCTCTATATAGGAAGGGGGGATTGCTCGAGAACCTTTTTCCTTCGCACGTTTATAAATAGTTCGAGTTCTTTCTTTTTTACCCTAAGATTGTGACGAAAATGAATTTTCGCTTTGATAGGCGCTAGAAATTTACTTGCGGTAACTTTCGCTAGCACGTGGTGACAGCTTTCAATGGCGCGAATGCGGGATGTCAAAACGTAGAAACTTGGCAATCAGTGTGGTCCTTTTATCTTAAGATCATTGAATAAAAGTGCTGTTTACTCGAATGAAGTGCTCATTCTCAGTCGAATTAAACTTAGAAGTCACAACAGTTGTGCCGATAGACAAGTACACAATCGTGCCTCTTCTGTAACCTCTAGGACATTCTGTGTGTTCATAATAAATCATTGACGTCAATTGACGTCATAGTGGCTTGCTTGATCCGTGAACTGTCCACGACCCTTGATGAAATGGAAGATGGCCCTTGATGCGCCGTAAAATTTGACGCAGTTCTTCCTCGTCCAGCGATCCTCTTCTATTTTGCTTTGTTCCCGCGTCAGTAAAAAATTTCGTGCGGCGTATTTTATTCATGTGGCGTTTTATCAGTAATCTACTGCTAAAATAGGGCAAGCTATATTTAGACTTGAATACTCTATGGCGCTGTATATAATAAAGGTGCGAGAAATAAGGCCTGGATTGGGCTAGGAGAGTCACGTGACGTTCTTTGCCTTCCGATCAATGTTGTTCTCCAGCTAGACGCTTTATACTTTGCCAACTTACTGTATTTTTAAAGTGCTCGGGAGCAATCACGAGACCGAAAACGGGCTATATTCCTGGGAAAGTTAGGTAAATTTAAAACTTTTCTTTTTCGTTTATAATTATGCCGATTCGCTTCCATGGAGGCGAGAAACGCTCGGAACTCAACGCCATATCGTTTAGAACGAACATAAGCTCAACTTATATTCAGCATAAATTTGTCGACTTCATCGATCTTACTCAAACATTACACGCTTTAGATATACGGCAATCTGGTAATTTAAGGGCTTGGTTATATATTTTGGTAAGTTTCGTTGATGATGCAGTATTTCTCTTTCAGTTAGTAAGCCATGTTTGTGTTGAACTGTGCTGGCAAGGTTGAGGGAATTTTTTAGAAGGCACCCGTAACTCGAACACCAGTTCTTCACCACATTCCTAGAACTCAGCTGATGTAGTAAATACCTGACGATGGAAAGAAGAGGCGAAGCAGGTATTTTTCTCTATTATTTTTCCTTTTTTGAAAATCAACGATGACTTCTGGGCTTTCTGCGATAGAATAAAAATAGCTTTTCATGCGATCATGCCTTTTGGGCCAGTCGAATAGTAATTCAGATTAGAGACTCGATAGCCGGTTATTCCACGACTTCAGTTTCTCTAAGTTCATATTTTTGCCCGCAGCCCCCAAAATTATCATCCCGAAGAATAGTATTGGTGTTTTCACGGCCAGATTGTGACAAAAATACAACTGACCTAGAGGAGAAACGGTCAACAATTTTCTGAATCATTTTTTTCCGCGACGTATTTCTACCGGTGGGAGATACTAAGTGTATTTTGCATTTAAAGCTGACCGGAAGATTCCGTTTCTGATTACGCCTTTACCCTCGGTTGCCTTTTTTTGTATACCATCTGTTATGACAGCTTTGCACACAAATTTGCTCACAGCGATCTAGCTATTCTACGCGCGAGTTTAATTTGAATTCTACGAATTTTTTTTTAACCTTTCCATCTGATATTTTCTACCTGTGGAAACAAGAATCTTTACAGCAACTGAAATAGAGCGAAAATTATTAAATGTAGGGGTTTGAACAGTTTAAAGACAGCTTCGAAAAACCACTTTGTTGTGCACTAGGGCTACATGTAGGTAGCAGGCAGACATAAAACATCGCAAATATATTTCATTTTTACCGCTTGAAAGTGCTGATTCAATAAATGTTTGTAGCACATCAAATTTTGCACATGATCGTTATTTTCATAACTCAGAGGAAAGCAAGTTTCCAAACTAAAAGGAAGTATATTCGTGCAGCCATATATTTCAACACAAAAGGATGACTTGTTCGCTTTGTATCTTGATTTCAATGTTTCATGTTTCAAATCGGTCTGTCATCTTTGAAGTTTGAATCAGTACATTGTAAATCTTATGGAAAGCTTTGTCATACTGCAATGGTGAAATTTGACAGTCGTGTATAAAAATCATGTTTTGATAAAGCACTTGAAATATATCATTCATTTTGTAAACAAATGGCTTCTTGTTGCTTCGTTCCTAGTTCATTGGTGTGTACATTATTTGCTCAAGTTACTTTCAAGCTTGTGTAAAGTGTAGCAAATCAAATATGTCTTGTTACATGCGATGCAGGGCTTTATTCTTCCAACATACAGCTGTTTTAGTGAAAACACTTCCATTTTGCACCATTTCTGTTGCTGTTATTACAGTATCATAGTTTTTACAAGAGTTTTACATGTGACCGTTTTCTCAAACTTTATCTTTCAAGCACAGTCTTATCAAATTGTATATTATGTGGAGTTCCTCAGCTTGTCCTCTCTCTTTTTTTTCTTCTTTTCTTTTTTAATAATAATAACACATTCTTAGAAGAGAAATTGGTTTAAAACATGTGCTTAACACCCTCTTAAATTTTTTGCAGATATCAAAATGTATGTGGTCTTAGTAAGAGTGTTGCCATCTGTATTTGCAGGATGCAGAGTAGTCCTTTTGCCTTGCAGTACTCTGCTTTTGTGCATATTACATAACATTAATTGATCCATCACAACAGATGCGGTACCTATAATTAACAGAGTAACATGTGTCTAATATATTATTTTATAGATGTGTGGGATTCTACTTGAAGATTCTAAACTGTATAAATTCATAAATATTGTCTAGAATAATTTTGGCTTAAAATTTTGATGGCCAAGGTTGCTTTTGATTCCCTTTCTTGAAATTGATCTTTGGTTTTTTGCATCTTACCCTCCCATGAGGTTGTACAACTGATACTTTTGTGTACACTGACATTCCATGCTCTGATAAAAAAAAACTGTTTTTTTTTTTCAAAACTTACATCTGAACTAGTTTGGTCTAAAATGCAACTAAAACTCAGTTTTATTTTCTGTACTTGTAAGTGCTGAAATTCGACCCAGAGAGGATAAAAATGCTTATAGTATTAAGCATTCAGCCGTTAAATATGTTGACATATATGTAAACACATCTTTCAAAGTGCAAAGTCTGCATAAACAGATGAATAAATTTTCTGGGCATTACTGCAGTACTTAGTTCGTGAGAGGAAGTGTAAAGTAATATGCCACATTCAACGATATTAGATAGGAGTAGGTTTAGAGTGAAATTGTGTTCATTTCCTTCCAAATATTAAGTTCTAAGTCCTTAAGAATTTTCAACCAGGCTATTTTATAATGTGGGTTTTTTCAGTCACACAATTTTGCATGCAATTTGGAACAGTTGGGCATGAGTAAGACAAACAAAATTCAGTAAATGGTTTGAACCCGGGGGTAACATGTGAAGGTGTAGTCTGATCGTCCGGGTGAGTGTAGTCCTGAGAAGGACTGTTGTCGGTGGCAGTGACTGACGTTTCGACAACCTGTGCGGAAGTCATCATCAGAGTCAAGTGAATGATTGTTGTCAGTAGAATGTTCTTATTCCAGTTCGTGTACATGTCCATAGGGAATTGTACAATTGTACATGTCCATAGGGAAGGGAAATTTGTAGTCCTTGAGAATATTACACATGCCTGTGTATGGCAAATTTCATGAGAATTGTCTTGCGATGACTGATTAGTGATCTGTATGAAACAGTGTCAGTAGAAATCGCCCTTCATAATTCTGCAGAAGTAAAGCATATATGTCATTTGCAAGGATAACATATTCAAACCAAATTGAGCATTTTCTCAAAACTATGGCATTCAGTCAAAACATCAATAAAAAGTTCTAAGCCCAGCTGAAGTGTTATTCACCTTTTGAATTATGTCTTTTTCTGCACCTCTCATCTACTGGGTGAAAACTGCATTTCTCTTGGCTAATCAAAATGATGAAACTTTTTAACCCTTTACACCCTGACATCAGAATCCATATTCTCTGTACTTTTCTCTATACATTTCCTTAGAAACGGACAAGGAGAATTCATTTAACAATCAAAGCTTGTAAGGCTAGTGATCATTTCTTTTATTCTCATGATCTTAATGAATGATTATACAGTGTTCCTCACTCTCAGGGTTTTAATGTTTAATGCAAATCTATGTAGTGGAACCCCAATAACACCAACCCAGTTATCTTAAACCCCCCCCCCCCTCCACTTACTCTATCAAGATCTGATTTCCTTTGAATTTTACCCCATTTTTACAGTCATTTATGATTGGCTAACTGAGAGTCCATGTTAACTTAAACCAATTCTACTTGTACTTACCCTGGGCTCAAATTTTCTCTTGACTGTTAATTTTAGCTTTAAGTAGGGATTGCAGTTGATAAACATCAAAATGTATATTTGTATCTTATATTTGTATTGCTTCTTTTTACTATATGAAAAAATGTAATTTAAAGTAAAGGGCTTCTGATTAGCTTACTATATTTATGCCCTTCTCCATCCTCTTATCTTGTTTGTAATTATTCCATAGACTCGAATTTGTTGAAATGGAGGAAAAAATAAATACAATAAATACTAAATAAATAAATACAATACAAAGTACAATACAAATATTAAAGCATAGCTGATTGAGATGTACCAACCTTTAATCAGGATTGATAAAAATGTGATAACAGTTATGAAAACATAATTTGTTTCGCTAAATTTCTCAATCTAAACATTTATTTTAAAGCTCTTTTTAAACAAACTAAATGTCTGAAAATAACCTTTGATTGTGTTGGAATGGTGAAAATGTGATTCCTTCTAAATTATTGATGGTATGATTGAAATTCAACACCAATCCCACCAACTCACCATTTTTCACTTGCCTTAGGAGTTTGAATTAACTGGGTTCCTCTGTAGCTAAAAAGTAGACATTTCCTTCTGACTTTTCTCTTCTCTTTACAATGTGGTTCCTGCTTTTCTTCTCATCAGGTTTTGTGATAGGCTTTATTCCTCTACTATTTTTCAAATTCATTCTTGTAATAGTACTAAAACTGTTGTTTTGTTCAGTGAAATTCCAGTAAGCAGTTTTTTTTTACATTTATCTTTTGGGGATAGGATGAACACACACAATGGAAATCATCATCAGAGCACAGACTTAAGTTGTCAAAAAAAATCAGTCACCACCAACAACAAAAATCTTTGGCAGGACCACTGGTCTCCTTTTCAGGTGGTAACTGATAAGATCTACCACATCTGGTACCTATTATTACTGCCTAAAATAGCTTGGAATTCTTCAAAAGTTTAGCCAATAATAATGTACATGATAGCATTAACCACTTGTGATTGGCAGATGAATGAGTCCATTTTTCATCTAACACAAGTGTGAAGTTGTAACATGAGTGCAAATTACTAAAATAGTGTGTGCACGCTGTCAAACTTCTGTCTGACTTGACTCTCTATGATACTTTTTTGATGTAAATTATTAAAACAACATGATTTCTTGTGCAATTTGGTGTATTTATGCACTGTAAACTTTTTCAGACTACAGATTGCTCTCGCCCTTAGGCAATTTTGTTTTTTGAAAAATTTACTTGTGCTTATGAATCCCAAATTGCACTAAAAATTATGCTATTGCCTATACTAAATGGAGTGCTCTACCGCTTGAAAGTTTCCTTAACCTGTCACATTTAAAATAAGGGTGCACAGTTAAGGATACTTGCTGAAGAACTAATTTTTCAGTATTTGGTTATATCAACTAAGTTGAAATTGTAAACTGGCCACAGTAAAGAGTTAAAAAGCTGATGTTTGGGGTGTTAGCCCTTCATCAGAGGTCCTGTCTTGGTTTATTTTAATTCAAGATTTGGTTGTCATTCTTGAATAAATCCCCATCAATAGTCACTGTGGTTTCCTTGAAATTGGAATGGGAAAAAATAGTCCCAATACCTCATTAGTGACACGCCTAATTGACACCTTTTTTTGATGGGGACTACCCTCAGCCAAACAATCAGACTTTAAGCCTTTTACTGGTAAATTATGTAAACTACATTCAATTTTTCTCAGTACTGGGAAATGGCTGCTCTACAAATTTCTCTGATGGTATTTCAATAGCTGTTATTAGACTGCAATATTTCATCAGCAGTTATGCTAAAATTAGGTGAAAGAAGCAGGCGTGAGGTGTCAGAGAAGCAGTTTTCTTCAGAGATTTTTTAAAAGCCAGTGATAAAAGAAAAAAAGATGACTGGCAGTAAACAAGTTGTGTGCCCAAAAGACATGAGCATCTATTCTGTTTATATGTATTCTTTTAACTTTTCTTTAATGAGTTCTTTCAAGTTTTGATCAATCTTTCTGGTTACAAACAAAAACAAAAATAAAACAAAGGTTAGAATTTCTTTCAGATCCAGTCAGGTAAGCTATTTTACTGCTTTGTTGTAATAGAATAGTTGTTGCAGCCGTAGAAATTAAAGCTGGCGAAAATTCTGGCCAGCAGTGCTTCTGGAGAAACTGAAATAGCAGCCTATTTTGGCCAGCTAGTGACTCTTACCGACAGCTCTAAAATGTACATGTTATAGTGGCGAGATTTAAAGATTTTTGGGTCAGACAATTTGGTGGGGAGCAGAGCATGACACTAACGGTAGGCAACTAGCCACAGATTAGTAGAAATTCAGTTTTGGCTGGTGGTTTTCAATTTCCAAAAACCAGTTTGGCTAGTAAACAAACTGAAATTGTTGTAACATCTTAGTTGTCAGTAGCCACTTGGTACATGTAAGTTGAAAAGTAAGCTTTGAGCCCTGGGATGGTTTTGCAGGGTGGGAAGAGAGGAGCTTGAAGCCAAACCAGGGACATTTATTTCCTGCTGTGAAATTAAGGGAGCAAGAAAAATTCTGATATTTTCTCTCTTTAATTATAAACCAGAGCTTTATTTGTTGTTTCTAGGTGCTACTGTTCAGTTTCCAATAATAGATTTTTCCGTAGTTAAATTTTGTGACAGATTTGTGACAAGTTAGGAAATATTACATTTAGTGCCAAACTTTTTGGTTGTGGTTATGTTGTTGTTGAGAGAGATTTATTCCAAGCAGCTGGACCTCTTTTGAAGCCCACTCTTTTTTTGGCTTCTAACAATTTCAACTCATTTGTACTACTCCCACCTATATTTGTGCTTGGCTTCTTGGTTTGTTATATTGACAGTTGGCCTATGCATACTAATTTTAGCATTTTGACTTCTAGCAACTGCTCAGTAAAATGTGTGTCCATGACAAGTTTTCAGTTCAGCTGTATTTGCCTTTTATTGGATATTCATTTATGTTTCATGTTTGAACTTAATGTATTTCCTGAAGGCTGATATTAGATCAGGATTAATTTTAATCTCTGTCAGTGTAGTTCATACATGTATTTCATCACTCATTTTTTTCTATTTTATCATCCCCCCAACTTCTTTTATTTTTGTCATTTAGAAACACATGGTCATTATTCATACCTTTTTTTTTTATGAAGATGCTTTTTTTAATTTGTGGCTTATTGTTAATCTGGCAGATGATGGAAATACTTTTCATGCATAAAAGTGTACAGAAATAATATATTTTCTTGATAAACCATTTCAAGTTTGGAGAGAGGAGTGTGTGAAAGGCAGAAATATGAAATTTTGATAAGATTTACTGTATATGCTAGTAAATTTATTTATTCAATGTAAGGTTTCATTTTTAAACCAATATTTTTCTAAACAGCTTGTCTTAATTTTTCATCATTAATAATTGGTTTTCTTAGAAATTGCTTTAACATGCTAATTTTACTGAGCGTCTAAAAATAGCTAAACATTTAATTGAGAAGTTTGCAATCAGCCATCACCTGAGTGGTTTTTTAAAATTTTTTGAATAAAATGTTTTTTATTTTTGTCAAAGTAGATGTATGTATAATTAGATTTGAAGATACATGAAAATACACTTCTTTTGTAATTTTCATGTAGAATTGCTCCAGGCATGTTTAAAGCGAATGAGGAAATTTATCTTTACAGGAAGTGGGGAAATCAGAGCCTGACTGCTGTTTAGGAAGATGTGAATTTAGCAAGTGACAGAAGAGTAAAATGATAAGACCAGTGCAAGTCTCTTTTAAATGCACTTGTTTTAAATGCACTTAGGTAGAGGAAAGCTGAGAAGCTTTCTCAGTAGAATACAGGCTGCATTCAGGAAACATACTTTTTAAGGGTTGGCTGTCCCTGACAATGGAACAGTGTTGAAATTGCCTAGGGGAGTTCACTTGTTTTCACTTTGAACACAGTTTTCGAATGACATTTGGAATAATGATATTCATGATAAAAAAAACAACAAAAACAAAACAATTATATTTGTTTACCAGTCAGTATTATCTTTCAATCAGTTACATGTAATAAGGCTTTGAAGAGGAAAGGAATTGCTTCTTTCTGGGAATTGTACAAAGTTTTACACTAAAAAAAGAATTGTGGGAAAATTTGTGAGTCAAAACCATTGTAGCAACAGTAATAAGAACATTTCAAGTGTAGAAATGATCCTTGCAGGTGTGTTGCAATTTTAACAATGGAAGTCTGAAACAATCCAGGCTTTGATAGGATTCAAACTCTTGCCTCCTAGAAAGTAATTGGGTGTTGCTACCAATTTAGCTATGAAGCCACACAGAGCAAGGCAACTTTCACTGGTCTTTTGAGGAGAAGATCTAATGAGTGAACCAGTAACATTTCATGACAGTGACAAAATCTAAAAATAACAAACCCCAACCCTGCTTATTCTCTTAGAGTTTTTCATTGGACTGAAAACAAGGTGAATCGTTTTTGTGGCACTCTATTTTGTTAGATTTGTTTGCTCCATGAAATAATACTATTGTGGATCAAAGACAGTCTGCAAAATCTACCAACATGTAATTCAAAACTCACAATCTGTTCATGCTGCATGGTAATTTAAAAGGGTGATTTTAAGGTTGGCTTGCTGTTTTTCTGTTTTTCTATCTTTTTATTTTTATTTTTTCAAGGAGCTGGCTTACAATTTCAGAGGTGCTATGAGTGCTCTTAAGGAAATAATAGTGTGAAGCAGCTTGCATTATACCAAAGTGAAGTTCTGCATTTTTCGTTGGTCTTAGACAGTGTAATTCTAGTAAACTGACCTCAAGCAAAAGAGTTAGATGCATTGGTATTAATTAAGTGGTTGAGCCCAGGGCTAACAGTGGATTTTCTGCTATAGTTGTTCTCACAAGGTTCCTTCATTTCTTTTCTGTAGTCAGTTAGTGGTTAAGAGTTGACCTGTTAATGCTGAGCAAATTCTCCATCCATCTCAATTGTCATACAGCAGACTACTTTGGACCTCATACATTCATCTCTCTGCAGTTCAAGTATCTGATGCTTATATATTCACATTTGTTCATTCCTTACTCACAGCTTTATTATGAACCACAAAATGACCAGCTTCCTGTTGGTGTATTAGCTCAGTTAAAAGAGAACCCCACCAATATAACAGCGGTCATGGGTTCAACTTGCCTTTAAGCTGCATTTTTTTTCAGGCTTTATTTTCCCAACTGCTTATCATGAGCAGTGTTCATAACTGGGGTGATTACTTTCAACTTCATTTTTTTTTTTCTCTCTGCCAACAGAGATGGATACGTGTCAGTATGTGTGTATTTAAATATGTTATAGTTCAATTTTGTTGTTTCAAGTTATTTTGCACTTTTTAGAAGAGCATCGTATTTTACTGGTTTAAAACAAAGTAATTAGTAATAAGAAAAAAAAAATTTAAGATATTTTGAAATGATTGAACATAGATTTCCTTAAAATTTTTATGTTGATTGCTGTAGTCTGCACTGATATTGGGAATGTTGTTTGTAAATAAGACAGGACTGGCTGTTAAAAGTTTAGCAGAATATTAGGATTTAAGAAAGTGTTTCATAGGCTTATATTTTTGTGCTCATCCGGACCTGTGACTCAGACTATAGAATATAAAGAACTCCGTGAGACTATATTTATATCAAAAGCAACACTGCCATGTTTGGGCCACAAAAACTTCTTCCAATACTTGGTAATTCCTGTTACTAACCCATTTTGATGGGTATTGTCAGCTTTGAAGAGGGTTGAAGAATCTTCAAAGAACTTTAGGTGTGCATTACTGGTCAAATTCAAGTTAAAAGTCACTCCAAACTTGAATGCATTCACTGATTCTCAATCACCAAAACTTTGAATGGTTCTATATTCAAGTTTCAAGACACAATTAAGTTTGGCATGAAAAACTGGCATCAGGAAAGCCAGTATTTTCTTTTCTCTTGATGTGTTTCACTATCAGTGTTGAATTGTATAGCATTCAGTTCTTCCTTGTTCCTTGTATTTTGAAATATGTTGTACCTCACATATGTAGATTGAGTTTTAAGTTAAGATCAAGTAAATACACCAAATTTTCATAGTATTTTAGCTAAATCTTGGTGATTTCTTTTTCAGATTCTCCCACAAGAGTGACCTCCAGTAACAGTAGGATACCAGTGGTTCCTTTAGTGCAAAATTTTAGTGGTAAGCAAACTTTTTTTTTAAGGAATCGTTGTATGAGAGATGTTTTCCTTGATTGAACATCACACCTGTCTGTCTTGTTCATTGTTCTATACATGTATTAGCGCAAACTTTTGTTCTTTTTGGAGGAAACCTAACCTTTTATAAGCTTCAGGGTTTTATGTAGGTTTCTTTCCCATACATGTTGTTGTATTTAATTTAGCTTCTCATGCTTTCTTGCAAATGCTTCCTTGCAAATCTTTATTGTAGTGTGCTAAATAAATAAATAATATTAAAAATGATACTGAAAATAAAGAATTTTGAGACAAACGGGCATTGTGAGAATAAGAAAGATGGTAAGTTTGAGCTCAGTAAAGAACTAGAGAAAGATGTTTTTCATTTTGTCATGAGCATGGGACAAAGAAAAATTATCGAGTCGTCATGAGGAATCGAACCTGAGACCTTTGGATTTTGCACTCCAATGCTCTACTATTCAGACTCAAAGATTCACTCCATGGTGTCCAAGGACCTTTACGAAGTTCATATATGACATGCATACTGCTAGGATCGGCAGTGTCAATTGTGCATTGTGAAATAAATTTTAAGAAAGGATGAATTTGAACAAGTGTACCGTTTTACCTGTGTCAACTACAATCTCTTATTCCTCTGGCTAAGTAAGAAATCAACTCAAGTTGATTTGGAGAGAAGTACATGTACATTTAGAACAACTTAAGAACTTTCTTTTGACTTACCTACAATGTACACTTACCAGAAATGCTCTAATGAGCCCTGTGGGAACTTGCAAATTTCCAGGGCTTGCAAACAGAGTGCTTGTTTGAGAGGGGGGTCAGATTTCTGAGAAAAAAGTTTCTTGAAAACTTAGTGGAGACTCAGTTGACTCAGTTCTTGATGTCTTTGATAATTGAGGACTATGCTGAGTCTCAAAGTTCAATTTTTGGGAATCAGGAAGTCAAGTTTTGAGTTTTAAAGCAATCAAAGTAGGATCTTCACTGATGATTTTAGGATTTCAGGTTAATTTCTCAAAAGTGCAGAAAAATAGCAGTGAACTATGAGAGTTGTTATGTATTAATTTGTTTATCCAGCAATGCATCAAGGCCAAGTTGGCATGAGGTGTGTTGGGTTTTTGTGGTGAGGAAAAAGCAAAAGAGCAAAACAAGTGGAGCAAGGACAAACTTGAACCCTTTCACTCCCATGAGTGACCAAAACAGAATTTTTCTTCACAACATCAATGCTATACCAAGAACACAAGTGATGAGGATAAATAAAAATATCAATTAGGGGATTATTAGTTGATCCAATATCAAATTCCTGAAAGTAACATTTTATGAGAAAAATGTATGACAAACAGCAAGGAGAACTATTAATGAGATTGTGGGAGTGAAAGGATCAATTCAATCTACCGTAAAAGTCCACAGATAAGCCGCACCTGCAGATAAGCCACACCTGCAGATAAGCCGCACCTGCAGATAAGCTGCACCTGCAGATAAGCTGCTCCTGCAGATAAGCTGCTCCTGCAGATAAGCTGTCAAATTTTGGAAAATATTTTTTTGAAAGAAATCAAAAGAAATCTGAAGTTGAGTCTTGAGAAGTCTTCTTCATCCACTGTTCATCGAACATAAACTCAATATTAACACTGCAACAGAAAATACTTTAAAGTCTTACCCACAATTTTTAGCACATTAATATCATGAACATTGTTTCTACCAGCTTTGACATATGATTGGTCTTTTTCTGGTATTTGTTGACAGGAATTTCTTCATTGAAAATAGTTTTTCTTTAGATTTTTGCATTACAACAAGAATGCGAGCAGAACATTCGACGCTTAGTAACCAGGCATTAGATCAGATGCAAAAATGGAAATTGGCGTTGACATTCACAACACCTTCTTCAAATGTTCCCGCAGATAAGCCACACCCCCAATTTCTAGCGATGATTTTTGGAAAAAAAGTGCAGCTTATACCTTGGCTTTTATGGTAATATCAGATTAGGAATGAACCCTAGAACACAGCAGTCTCTTCACATTGCATCTTTGATGTACATCAGCGAAGTTGACCATTAGTTTTTCAATGTTTTTCAGATGTTAACCACTATGCATCAACAGTTTCTCCAGAAGGTGTAGCCATACCACGCTTTATTCTGTCACCCAGCCAACAACAGCAAATTTCAGATATTTTCTATCTCAAGCAGCAACAGGAGCTGCAGCAACAGCTCCTCTACCAAAACTTCCAACACCAGTTACAACAACTTCAACAACAGCATCAGCATGAACTGCAGGTATGAAAACAACTCATCGATGCAAAATTTATGTTTTTATAATGTGTTGCTTTTCTCCCTTTCTCCCTTAGAGCCTTTCAAATTTTATGACTCATTCTCAAAACTCATTATTAATTTTGAAAGTGGACATTCATAACTTAATCCTTCAAACTCAGTTCTAGGCTGTCCAATTTTTAAGAGTGGAGGATTAAATTTCAAGTTGGGACTGTCAACTTACAGTTGAGTGCAAAAAAGGAAATTTTTTTAAAAAAGAAAGAAACTGTACAAAGTAGTATTAACCATGATGAAGGAGCCAGTGTATGCAAAAATTGCAGTGTGGCTCAGGTCTTGACAATCACCTTTTAACCCGAAGGTGGTCATGATTGATGCCTATTTTACAAGACTTCTAAGCTGTTTTTGTGGTATCTTAATCTGTGTAGTACTAATTCAGATGTAGCCATTAATCAGACAATTATTTTAAACAGCGCAAGAGATTGCTTATGAAGAGACAAGAAGAGCACCGGCCTAGAGAGCCGCAAGAAAAGACACAAAAAGAAAGGGAACACCGCTTTCCTCAACCAAAAATTAAGGTTGGTCTTGTTTGGATATTAACTACACTGGTAAATAACCCTTTTGGGGGAGGAATGTGTTAAAAAAAGCTTTACTCATTTCTTGGAGATGTGTTTGGCTAATTCATTGGTCTATAGTTCCCCAGTCATAGGTTACAGTTCTGGCAGAGGTCTCTATGTTGCATCCCTCAGTGAGACCCTCTCCTCTCCCAATGTATCACTCCACCCATGTGCATGCATATTAGCGGGTATGTCTAAGTATAAATGTACCAGCATTCTATTGCAAATAGGGCAATCTGGTTGGCTGCACTACTTGCTACATGTATCTATTCCGTGAAAGAATGCGAGTAGAGTTTACTTAGAAGCCTAGCAGTGTGCAGTTGTAGATGCAGTAAAAATTAAAACAGGAGCCTTTTTTTGTTAACTTTTGAAGGACTAGCATTTTTCCCCTATCTGTTGATTGGTGGTTTGCCCTTGCTACATGTAACTATCACAGGATTGAAATCTTTAGCTTGTAATTTCATTACATGTAGCTTGGATAACTTGAAATACTGTCGAGAGGTTAAAAAAGCAAAGCCAAAATTTCATGAGCTTTACTACCATTACTACTTATCTCTTTCACATTGGAACAATAAGGGTTAATAAGGGTTTTGACTATCATTATTTCATTTGGCAATTCTCCTCACTATCTGTTGTAAACTTCTCAGGACGTTAGTTCAGATAATTTGGTATTGGGTCAACCAGTAATCCCCTGGTGGATATTTTTCTTAATTCTCATCAATTTTCTGTGTGATGTTATATTGATATCGTAAGGAGAAATCCTGTCTTGGTCATGCATGGGAGTTAAAGAGTTAAAAAGAATGGACATAGTAGTTAGCTTGTACAAGCAACTACACACTGTCCTCTGATTTGAGGAATTTCCTCTCTTTCTGAGGAAGGAAATTGGGGGGGGGGGGCAAATTGCCTACTTCCTTGCAGGGAATCTGTTTCATGGTAAAACTTATTTTGAAGGTTGAACCAGAAGAATCTAATGAAAGAGGACATGGTAGTTCAGCAATGGATCAGGGTGAGCCTCCAGAAAAGCAATCTAAAATAAAGCAAGAAGTGCTTCAATCTCCCCCAAATCAGCCTCCTATAGCTACTCAACAACAGCACTTTCAGAAGCCACCAGCACAGGATAACCATCATCCACAACAACAGCAACAGCAACAACATCAACAGGCACCCCAGCCACCACCACAGCAGTCTCAAGGATCTCAGCAGCAGCCTCCACCAGAATGTTAGTTAACATCAGATTGATGTCATATCCTCACAGTTTTTTGTCCCATACAAAGACAAAATTAGAAACTTTTTAACCAGTTCCAATTTGTTTGTATATTCAATGTGTTTTTGAACATAGAATGAAATTTCATTATTACATGATACTTATATAATTTATAATCATTGCTTCAATTGGGAATTTGTCCTTCTGAATGTTCCAACAATTTGTTAAGCTAACAAAATTCTGAGCAGCTGAAGTCCTAAAATTTCACTACTCATTGGGCATGCAATACTTTTGTTTTGAATTTGGTTGACCTCAGCATTCAATCAATGAATTTGCTAACCCGCAAATTCTAAAGAGTTGATTAGGAACTTTCCTTTGATGCTCTGACTCATTTTCTTGCAAATATAAGTTTACAGGATTTGGTTGTTATTAACTCGCAGAAGTGTTAACATCTAACTTCTCCCTATACGTATCATATCCATACATTATCCAGGACACAGGTTTTTAAGGGGAATTAATTACTGCAAAGATTGCTTTCATTTAAAAGGTACTCCAACTTATCAGGTAGAGGTTGTTATCTTGATTGAACACCAAATTCTCATACTATATTAATATGTGGCATGGATGAAGCATAATGAAACCTTTCAGAAATGGCAATTAAGTACTTCATTGTTTTTAGATCTTATTAACCAGGCAGGAGGTCTGTATGGGAGAATCTTGACTGAGGTCGCCAGTACAGACCGAACACAGTGAGGTCTGTACCAGCAACCAAGGTCGAGATTCTCCCATACAGACTGACCTAGTTCGGTTAATAAGATGTTTATTATGTGGCTGTGTCTTATATGCCAATTTTTTATATTCTTTGAACCTTTTTTTTCTGGACTGGTCTGGATGCTGGTCTAGATGCCAGTCTAGATGGGAAAATCTAGACCGCTTTCAATATTGATTTCAGCCAATCAAATTCGTGAATTCAGTAGTTCCCAGTCCTTGTGAGACACAGCCATATAATAAAGAAAGTTAATATTTTGACCAGTTTTATGAGGATTCTGAGTTTTGATAGCTTCTTTGATTGTGTACTTCTTATTGCAGTATCTTCAAGTGAGGTGAAGAAGCGTCTTCATGAATTTGTTATCAGCAAAAAGCAAAAGGATCTTGCTTTAGCTTCTGGGACACATGCACAGGCCTTTAAGCACTGGTTGGTCTGAGTCTTTTTTTTTTTTTTAAAGTTGTTAATGGTTGTACCCAGATTTAACTAGGTGAAGGTTTGTTTTTTTATTGTCAAAGAGATATTTGCTTTGCCTTCCACATTTAACAAATTTTCATTCTTAAGATGGGGCTTTGAAGTGTTGACAAGTACCTTGACATTCCTAGTGCAATGCAGAATTTTGTTATGAAGCCACACTTTTGAAGCCTGAGCACTTGAAAGGCTCTTCTGTGCTTATTTCAAACCTCTGTTGCATTTGAATTGTTTTTTGTAGGCCATTCACTGTTTAAAGCAGTTAGTTATCCATGCAGTGAGTGTTCCATTTTCAAATTGGGGATGACCGACATCAGGGGTGCCAATGGAACATTATATCACTCTCTAATGGTTTCATCCTTTTGCATTGTTTTGTTTGCAGGAACCAGCAATATGATGATTCAGATCGAATTACTCCTCTAGGAACTGGCTATGAAGGGGTCAATTATCCACTGAGAAAAACAGGTCAGGAGTCCAATTTGCTGCAGTCTTAACTTCATTATCAAAGCTGTTATCCTTTGGATAATGCTGTAGATCAATGTTTTTTTTTAATTGAAAGTGTGTCAGATACACCTAATTGCAACAACAGTTTCATGGGAAAAAAGCAAAAAGCAAAAGTGAACTGGGAAAAAACCTAATACGAACTAATTAGCATATAAAGTACATGTACCCTTTTGCTAAAAGTGAGGCAGCTGAACAGTTTTCACAGAATTTCCAATGAAAAACTCTTTCAAAGTACTTGAGAGTATTAGATTTTGTTGAAAAAATTGATATACCAATGCCATATGCCTAATTTGATACCTGCTAAATAATTTGCCTTTTTCCTTTTTAACTTTTTCAATGCAAACCTTAGTGCACTTGGGTGTATATTTATCAAGGAAAATATTGGTTTTGTCCAGGTCTGTTTATCTTTAACACTCTTAAAGAGGATTGTGGGGCTAAAGGATTGAATTCACTTATTGAAAAATTATTATGTTATACTAGTCAAGTAATCCTGTATTTAGCCAGACCTGTCAGAACAACCACTATCTATTGTTACAGCTTCTGAACCTACCCTGAAAGTGAAGTCACGACTCAAAGCCCGACTTAGGTATTGTCATGGAAGCCCATTACTATACAGACGTCAAGATCGTCGAAATGGAAATAGAATCAACAAGAGCCTAACATGTGAGTGATCCTTTCACAAATTGTCTGAGCCCTTTACACCTTACCCTATCAGTATGCATATTCTCCATACTGTTCTCAAAAGATTTCTCAAGGTGCTGATGGGGAGAAGTTTGGTTAACAATCAAGAGGCTCCTAAGTTGGTAACAATTAACAAATGGTAAACACCACAGCGTACACTATCAAGTTATGGATGCACACAGGACGTTGTTAAGCACGAAAGAAGCGTAAGAGTCGCTCGAGGTGATAGCCGAGAGCGACTCTAGCTTCTTGAGTGCTTAGCAAACCTCCCGTGTGCATCCATAACTCAATAGTGTATGCTGTGGTGTTTACCAATTGTTTTATAACATAGCATTGATACATTGTAGCTAAAGAGTTCCCTTTTAATTAACAAATCTTACGCGACCAGAAAAAAACAAGCACGCACGGAAAAATAGTCTTTGCATTTGCTCACGTGAGCAGCATACACCCATTGGCAAATGGGGGACACTAAATTGACCAATCAGAGCGCGCGCTTTACTTTGGTTATGTTCTAATTTCCTTTATTATCCAACTACACTACGTAGAGTACAAATAATGCCATAGACAAGTACAAATGTCACGCGGTATTTCGTACTCCAGAGAACCGGTTAGACAGGTGTTTTCGCATTGCGCAAGCGCAGAATTGGATTGGAGTTACTGACGGACAATTTGAATCATATTTCCAACGACGAAGAGTCGGAATGGCTGGCAAATATAAATCCAAGTTTATTAGATGAATCGAATGAAGAAAAACAGTTAGACAACCAGGAGATTTCTTCATTTATTAAAGAATATAGACACAGCAACACGACAACGTGCCAATACCGTTCCGCTTCGCATACTTCTGTCACGCACTCCCCCAAAATAAATATCCGCGAAATTCGCCTGCACTGAAATAACAGTTTGGCATGTTAGATAATAAATAACTTATTAGTCGTTTTGTTGTGTAGTATCGCTGAGTATTTTTACTTGTTATTTGTATCTTGACTTGCCCTACGGGCTTGTCAAAATATGGCACAACTTGTAAAAATACTCAGCGATACTACACAACAAAAAGTCTAATAAGATATATTTATTTTATGACCTTTATCTGTGATTCAGGCTTGATGCAATGACAATGCTGCTCATGTCAACTTGTCACGCAATGTGTCACTCATTGAAAGAATCATTTTATTTGGCGTTGATATTGTGGCAAAAAATAAGTGAACAGTGGTTTAGCTTGGTATGTACTCTTATCGATAATGATAGTGGTCAATATTTGTTGCAGACTCACTTGGCTGTGTCTATAACATTCTGACCACTGTGATGATGAATATTATTCTCCTAAAGAGAAAAGACCATGCTAAACCACGGTCAATATGTTAAACACCCCATTATTAGTATTTTCAATCTCCTGTTCTCTTTGCATTGACAAGGAGAATTTGTTTACAAGACCATCAGCTTCTTCTTTTCCTCTATCCTTACGACCTCTACATTTGATTTAAGGGTGAAACTGTCAGGAGAAATTAGAATCTAGTCACTCATAGAAGTTAAAGGGTCAAGATTCAGTCATTATTTAGTTGCAATGTTACTCATGAGCATGCTCTTGTAAGTTTGCCTGCTGACTACAAGAGCTGGCTAAGCTCTTTGCAATTACTGGTATCTCTTTCATAGTGTAATTTATCATGATAGATTAATCAACCTTTTTTCCCCTATTTTTAGTGGAAAATGCAGGAGCTGAAATGGGTGAATGTTCCAACCCAGGCTCCCCAATTCAGTCATCATCTACCTCACCACACAGAGAGGTAAGACACAAAACTGCTTGTTGTGTGGTAATAACTGATTGGGCTGGTAAAAGAAAAATAATTTGTGTAAATTTGGAGCAATTTCATTGTTTGTTCAAAGTTCCACAATGTCCACAATTGAATGTAACATTCATTTTAGGAGGAGTTCTTTTATTTTTTCCTCTGTTTCTTAAAAAAATGCATATTTCCTTTCGTTATTGTTTAGAAATAACACCCCTTTCCCTTTTTGTGGGCAAGGACACCTTTAATAATTTTGTTTGATACATGGTTTTAAGTGAAGATTATTCTTTTGTCAGGGTTCGTCACCCTTGAGTACTGGTCCTGGGTCAGGTCTTGGCCACAGTCTTCCCAATCTCCAAGCAATTCCACGTTACCCTTCAGGTATGGATCACAGCCGTGGCAGCCAGCTGTGGCTTTCAACCCAGCTTACTAACAAACCCCGTGTTCTAAGTCATGGTAGTAGCTTGGCAAGCAACGATGTGACTCATATGGAAGTGCAGCAGAGTCCATATTCTAGTCAAACTATTTCAGATGGAATAGAAGAAGAGGATGAGAGTGATGTTGCTACAGCTGCACTGCATCAAGCACGGTGGAAGCAGCTGGCATTAGCCCAAGCACAAGCACAGATGCTTTCCATGGGTTATGGAGCGCAACAATTGAAAGTGAATTCTGTGTTGCCACCTTCGTCATCTTCAACAGGACTGCCATCCGCATCACCAGAAGCACAGAACAACTTGCTATCACCTCGCAGAATAGGAGGAGGGCTATCTGCATCACTAACGACTGCACAAATGGAAAGGCAATTGAAGGAACACCGACCTTTGCGCCAGTCTCTGTCAGCACCAGGCTTGTCTTTGTCAAATGGTGTAGCCCTGCACCAGCAGCCGCAGAACCAAGAACTGTTACAGCAGCAGCATATGGAATTTATGAAACAACAACGGGTGCAACAGCAGAATCAAGCCAGGTTCATCCAACAACTTCAACAGGAGTTGCTTCTGCAGCAGATTGGTGCCAAAAACCTCCAAATGAACTTGCAAAAGTTGCAAGAGTTACAACAGCAACAGCAGCTGCACAAAGAATCCCAGGCAGCGCTGAAAGAACACTTGGAACATATGCAACAGAAAGAAGCTTGGAAGGGGCGTCTTTTACAGTTACAACAACAACAACAGCAACAGCAACAGCAGCAGCAAAAACTGCAGGCTCAATTGCTTCAGCAGCAACAGCTGCAACAACAACAACAACAACAACAACAACATCAACAACAACCATTACCTAGACTTGTTCGTGTAAGTAGTTAACTTCCTCAACCCTTTACTCCCTGATGTCAGTGTGCATATTCTCCATACTTTTCTCTATACGTTTCCTAAAGTGCTGACAAGGAGAATTCGTTTAACAATCAAGTGCTCCGTTAGTTGGTGAACACTTCCTTTTTTTCACTGTTTTTAATTCGTGAATAATTTGAGAAATTGAGGAAATTAATCTGCAGGACCTGGAAAAAGTATGGAAATAAAGATTAAGTTGGTTATATCAAGTTGTAACAAATGTTTAATTGTTGGGTGAAAGATCATGCTAGTCGTGAATTTTGCCCTTCTGAACCCCCTTGCAATTTGTTGAACAATAGGCCTTTTGCAGTTAGAGATCACGTGCTTAGATACCGCATAGCAACGCCATACTGGAGAACAAGCACTCCAGTGATCTCAGACAAAATAGAGATCACAGAGGTCTGCATTCAAACAAAGAATACAGCGGATAACAAGTTAAAGGGTATCCCAATTCGAGAAATCTGGTAAGTTTTAATCAACAGCTTCCTTGTATCAGTGAAAAACGAAGTTTGGTGTGATTTTGCTGCTGATACACTCTGGGGAAGCTGTTGATTACTTCTTACTGGATTTCTCGAATTGGGATACCTTTTGACCTGTTATCCGCAGTATTCTTTGTTTGAATGCAGACCTCTGTGACCTCTATACTGTCTGAGATCACTGGAGTGCTTGCTCTCCAGTATGGCGTTGCTACGTGGTATCTTAGCACGTGATCTCTAGCTGCAAAAGGCCTATTGTTTGTCCCAGAAGACTCCATACTTGTATTATCCCTCAAGCAACGGGAATACCTAGACTTCCCTTGTAGGCCTTTGGTCAAAATTCTACATTGAATTATTTTCCAACACAATGTTGAAGATTCTTATAGATTATTTGACGTTAGAGATTGGAGAATTTTCCAGCAGCCATGCAGAATTCTTCAGCTAAATTTCCATTCCCTTGGTTATTTTTTGTATAAACCCAGAGAATTGTTTTCCTGTTTTTTTTTTTTTTTTTCACACTATTGCCTTGCTTCTGCATTTTTTAAGAAAAAAAGGAAAAACTTGTTCACATAATTTTAACCAATCTTTTTTTAGATCTTCCCACTGATTTTAGTACATTCCACTTTGCTGGCTATTTCTAATAAATTTATGTTTGATCGTGCCAATATCTCATAGTTGATGGTAGTTAAACATCCACATCACCTATCTATTTGAAAGTGTATAAAGATTGTAAGGTGAAGTTAAGCACTGTTAAAAAAATAACCTCTGTATTTGCTCTGACAGACACACAGTCATGATGACCTCCCCTCGCCCCAGACCACTCAAGAGCAACACATACAAGAACTTCAGCTTATTCGTCAGTTACATCAACAGGAATCGCCTGAAAGAGACTCCTTGTCACAGGGACACCAACAAGCTCTACAGCTACGTCAAGCAGATTTAGCTGCAGCGTCATCAGCGGGATCTGTCTCCCCAGGGGCGACTGTGGGCCACAGGCCTTTATCAAGAGCCCACTCATCACCTGTTGTAGGTAAGTAAAAAAGAATAACTATTTCAGCTGTTTTTTTTTGTTTGTTTTTTCCGGAAGGGGAAGAGAATCTGGTTTTGTTCTTTTTGTTGAATATAATTATATATTTTGAATCGCAATGTTTTCTCTGAACTAAAAAGTAATCTTGGCATATGTAGATGTCTTGTCAAAACTGTGGTGATACTGTTGAAATTATATTTTCACGTAGGAAAATAGATTTGTTTATTTTGAACTGAATGATCAGAGAATAGAGAAAGATGCTGAATCAACTAGTTACTTTTTTAAGTCACAGATGACAAATAATTTTTGTAATCTTTAGGCAGTGGTCAAGTGTCTGAAACAGGGAATCGTACCGGCCTTGTTTATGACACAGTTATGTTGAAACATCAATGTTCGTGCGGTGATGCCAGTTCCCATCCTGAACACCCAGGAAGATTACAAAGTATCTGGGCACGACTGCAGGAGACTGGTGTTGCCAATCTTTGTGAAGTGAGTGTCTTTGAAAACTTGTGCTTTATAATTGTGCCTTGTGTACGAAATTTAGATTGTTATCCGTCTTGAAATTCCAGCGGTTTCAATGAGTATTTGTAATGAAATGGTGACAAGTGAAATTATGCGGTGGAACAAAATCGATTATGATATTTTATTTTATATAGCGAGTGCGTCCCAGAAAAGCAACCTTAGCGGAGATTCTTACAGTTCACAGGTAGGTCCACTTTACACTTAATTAAATTTGTGACACAGATACTATGCCGTTTTATTGAGAATCACGTCATAGCACTGAAAGTTGTTTTATAATGTGTTTACAACAATACGGAAAATGAAATGTCAATTTTAAATATCTGTTGGTCGGGTTTTTCAAAACATGATTAACTTAACCCGGGTTTAGTGTAAATTTTTTATTCACTCAAATAGCAATGCAAAGGGATTTTTCTTTTGTAATTTGTTTTCAGTTAGTTTCGAGTCATATTGAGGTAAACCTCGACAAAACCTTAGCTGCTATACACACTCTTTTACAGGAGAAATTAAAGCCAAGGTTAACTTTTAATCCTAGATAAACGTTAACCCCCTTTCGAACCCCCCAGTCCAGCCGCGGATAAGTGCAACTGCAACTCACGACTTATATTTACAGTTCCCTAAAAACTACATGTTGAGTCTCTCTTCACCTTTTGTATCCCAATATCAGTGTCCATATTCTCCATTCTCTTCTCTATATGTTTCTCTTGGTACTGTCGAGGAGAATTCATATGAAGATCAAAGCTTCTTAGATTGGCAAATCATTTTCCTCTATTTTCAAGATCTTAGTAAATGATTTAACATTATTACCGCAAGGAGAATTTAGATGCTGGGGTTAACATTGAAGGTTTAGCTTGTATATACTTATCCTTATGGAAAAAAAACACCTCTTTTGGAAGCCACAGAACTTGCAAAAGTAATGATCAATGTGTACCCTGGTGTATTTTTATGAAGTTTTAGTTGGTTTGCCCTACGGACGTGTAACTTTTCAATGAATAGTGTTAATTTATGCAAATTTGCGGTACGTTGTCCAGGTATTCTCGCAAACAAGCCACACTCCTGATTTGTTACGAAAATTTTCGGGAAAAAGGGGGTGATTTATCCGCTGGTGTTTACAGTGTCATTAGAGACGAGCCTTTTGTAGGGAAAAGCGTTCAGTTCTATACGTGAAAAAGACAAAGTAAGTTACTGCCAGACCCACCAGGAAAAAAAATTGTGTCATAGTGATAAGAAGAAAGAGTGATAATATACAATGTACATAATTTGACTTCTTTATTTGTAGTGAACAGCACACCATGTTGTTTGGTGGCAGTACACAGTGTAGAACAAAGAACGAGGATGGTAAGAGAAATGCACTTCAATAAAAATTATGCTCAGCTTTCTGCGTGGGAAAGAAGAACCCTTTGAAATGGGCCCCGCTTCCAACGTGTAAGACTCGATAGCTCAGGTGTTAGTAGCGCCCAACTAGCATCAGGGAGGCAAAACTTCAATTTCCATCAAGGCCTGAATTTTATTTTTCAGACTTCTTTTCAGCAGTTGCGAAAATTTCAGCCCGCCTGCGAGGATCTTTGCTTTACTTGATTTTTCATTGAAAGTTATGAATATATTCTATAGAAAAAACAAGAGAAGGTGAAAAAAGTCTGTTGACCGAATTCCAAGCATGGTGTTCAAATGTGATCTTTGTTCATGCTCAAACATGGCCTTTGTTTTTTTGTTATCTGTTTTTGCTAGGGACTAGTACTTTGCTCAAGTGTTTCAATAAGCTCTTTTGTGGTGGGATTGGGGTAAGTTGAAACATTTCATTAAACTGGTTTATAAAGCTGTTATTTAGCTTTATTTTACGGATCTTTTTGTTCAGTGTTGTATAATCGTGGTAGACTGTTGCAGGGCTTGACACTAACTTTTCAACTTGCTAACTAAGTGGCTAGTGACAACTTAGATGTTACAACCATAATCATTCTTTATGGCTGTTGGTTTGTTAGGTCGATGGAGATACAATATGGAATGAAATGCACAGTGCCAATGCAGCCAGAATGGTAGGGGATAAAAAGAAGTTTATACTGTGAATACCTGAATTAATGAAAAAAAAAAATTAAGAATGAATAACCAAGCGGTCATTCACATACGTTCATTTCTAACGCAACTTTCCTGTTTCTGTTCAGGCTGTCGGATGTGTTGTGGAACTTGCATCTAAAGTTGCCAAAGGAGAACTTAAGGCAAGCATGACTTCTGATGAAAACAGACCACAGTGGTCGATCAAATAACTTAGAGTCAGCTCTCTCTTTACTAATGTTGTGTTAATAAGCTCTAAGCTTGAGGAACTAAAATACGAGACCATTCTCATCGGCACTCAGACCCGTTGAAGCTAACGTTTCAGCCTAGAGTGTCACTTACAGTGTATTTCTTGGAATTTGAAACTTAAATTTGAAATAAGAAAGTGGGTACCCATACCCGTACCCGTTCAGAAGCAACCGCACCTTGTATACAGAGTATGTTGTGGTTCAGTTTTTTTGCTTTATTTCAATCGTAATAGGACTATGATGACGGAAATACGACGACGTGAATACTGGTCTCAAAAGTCTTTAGCCAAGAAAGTACTTACACCACAACACATTTATGCAAAGATTCCCGACAATATCATCATAATCAGAGCTTGCTGGATACGCGTTTTTCCAATTTTTTTTTTTTTTTTCAATTTCATCTTCATCTTATCTTGCGCTGAAAAATCTTACATATTATCATCACTAAAAAAGGGACTGGTAAATTCAAGTAAAGAAGGAAATGTAAGGAGTGATACAATATCTAGAATAGTCTGGTACATTGAAACTCTTAATAATACATTTAACAAATTGCTCTGTTCTTTTTAGAATGGATTCGCTTTAGTGAGACCTCCAGGCCATCACGCGGAAGCTCACCAAGCGATGTAAGTTTGAAAGGCTGGGAGAGACTAAGCGAAGGGTTGCTACCGCTAACCGCTACGTGTCAACTGTTTTCAAAACACGTCACTGCATTTTATCACGCGGGGACAAAATTCTGTCACTGAGACAAAGAGACAAAGAATTGCACAAAAATTCTACTTATAACACAAAGTGAATTGTTGTTGTGAGTTAAGCTCGCAAAGTGCTGCGTGTCTTGTCTTTAAATGGCATGTTCTTATTGACTTAGTGGGGGCCGGACGGGAAAAGCTTTGGCCTGAGGTCATAATGTACTGTCCGAGAGCCAAATATTTTCCCGGCTCGACCTAACTCATTCAATAACTACTTTATCATATTACTGTTTGTCTTTCTCTTTATTCCTTTCTTCTTGCAGCTCGTATCTCGCATCTCGTAGGGCCGTACGACTTTGTCCAGCCCAGTGGCTCACCCCATCGCGTACGGCCCTCAAAGGGAGCTTTCTTTCTAATGTTTATCAATAAAAGCGTGCGCACAAAGCTACACAAGGCCGCGCGGGTCATATGGAAAAACAGTATTCCAGGAGGAAAGTGGTTGGAGTTATCTGAAACTTACTTCTAGCGTGTCTCAATACTTACAGTCCTTGGAAGTTGCTAAAATGGGGACTTTAAGCAAACCACGACGGCTACGGCAACGAGAACGTGGAAAAACAATAGATGTAATTGGCAGAACAATAGCCCATCACGTGCGTTTTAAAACTTTGTACATTTCTTAGCCGTCCTTTGCAAAACAACAACGTGAAATCACCAAAATTTGCGTCGTCTGCGAAGCGAAACCGCGGCGGCAAATTATTTTAATTTACATTCGGAACTCAACGCTACTTTTATGCGTTATGTTGAGTTTGAGGTCTGGCGCCCTATGAGACGGTAAACACATGCAGCCATTTTCGAAATTCTAACTAACAGTAGAAACTAATTTTTTAATCAACGTCTTCCGTGGCGTTGCCGTCCTGACTGCTTAAAGTCCCTAATAATATGTGGGTCAACGTTCAATGCGACTTTTCTCTTTGCAGGGGCTTCTGTTACTTTAATAGCGTGGCAATTGCTGCGAGACTACTGAGACTGAACCTGTCTGTTGAACGAGTTCTGATCGTGGATTGGGTTAGTACAAAGTAGCATGTTCCTCTTTAGAGCAATGTTCAATTTAGTGTCGGAAATAAACCGCGACTTCTTTGGTTTTTTTACTTCGCTGTTATTGATCCAGAAAACGTGCGCTATCAGAGAGATTTAGCACCGCGTTTACGTGAAACGGTAAACGTCAGCTTGCCCTTTCACGTCTCATGTAAAAGAGCGTGAAGCTTGCTGCTTTAGCTTCGCGTGAGCTCACGTCAGGGTGGCAAACGTGAAAAAGTGACGGGAAAAACAAAGTCACGTGGTCACTCTTGCCGTTTACGTTTCACTAAAACTTGGTGCTAAATCATTCTATTCTCTCAATCAATCAGACATAAAACTCAAAGCAATCGTGAATTGGTCACCCGCGTTTTCCCGCGCTTTGGTAGTTACGGTGTTTTCACTTTGAATTCTCATCGGCTAATGATAATTGTAGCCTTTGTTATGACTGGCCACTCAGTTTGATTACTCTGAGTTTAGTGTTTCGTTACCCTTTTAAAAACCTTTCCTATCGTTCAAGGTTTATAGAGATGTAGAGAGAAGGTTTTCGTGAAAGGCCAAACCTATTTCAGGGTGATGTCGTAGTTTCTGTTATAGTTTAACCTGCCATCATCATTATTTATTATTATTGTTATTACATAAAAACATACATTTGAAGTCGGACTGGCCCGCATATAGCTCTGGTAGTCTAGGCGGGCCAGCCCATCAATAGCTACAGTCCATCATTAGCTTATTACTATTAATATTAATAAAATAAAAAGAAAAGTAGGAAAAGAATGTGATTTATATTATATACACAAGGCTAAGAGAGTAGGAAAAAATTATTAGAATGTTGAAACCAAACGTTTTCGGCTGTTTGCCATCATCAGGGTTGAAAATAATGACCATCTGTACATACATATATATCTTATGTGATTCCCAGTGGGAAACGTTTGGAGACATAAGAAATAACTTGTTTGCTCTATTTGAACGGCTAAATCACTATCACTCTAACATTGTTTTCACTACCAAGGAAAACCCTGACCATTTCCTCGATACTGCCTTTAGTTATAACAACAAGTTCAATTGCAGCTTCTTCAAAAAACCGGGAAAACTACCAACACATTGGAAACCTGAGGTCCCTACCAAATGGAAAAGGAATTGCATCACTGGCGCACTCCATCGAGCCTAACGCATCTCTACCGATCTTGACAAGGACATAAAAACTGTTGAAACATCTTTTATCAATGCAGGTTATCCCAAACGTTTTATTTCGCAGGCAATCAACAACTTTCTAAACGACTCATCATAAGATGACAACATCATTCCGATTTTTCTCTTCGAAGACCGAAAGAAAGTCTTTATCAAGCTTCCCTTTTGCGGTAAAAACGAAAAACTCAGTAAGACGTTTGTTAAAAAACTCAACAAGTTCACTAATTTTAATTTCATCTTTGTAATCCTGTGGCAAACAAGGCAAATTAAAAGCCTCTTTAACAACAAAGACACAAACACTCACAGATCCAAAGTTGTTTACAAAGGAGATTGTTCTTGTGGCGTTGATTACATTGGCGAAACTGTGAGAAATTTAGCAGTACGTATTGCGGAGCATTCAAATCCTGCTCACACCTCTGAACCTGCAAAACACTTGCGAGAAAATCCATCACATTCTTTCACTTGGTGTGTTCCCTCCTCAACAGAAACATTAGACAAGCGTAGGATCGTCGAGGAGCTAATGATCCAACAATTCCGCCCCAGTTTGAACAAACAAGTCATTTCTTATGTCTCCAAACTTTTCCCATCGGGAATCACATAAGATATATATGTATGTACAGACGGTCATTATTTTCAACCCTGATGATGGCAAACAGTCGAAAACGTTTGGTTTAAACATTTTAATAACTTTTTCCTAATCTTTTAGCCTTGTATATATAATATCTTTTATTAAGCGAACATTATGGACGACAATGTGATTTATTAGATAATATTTTGCTTGTTTGTTTGTTTTACTCTCTTCCCTTCCCCTATACTACTACTGACATTTTAATTTAGCTTAGAGATGACTTTGCGAACCTCAATGAAAGAGTCTTCATCTTCGCGTACACTTAGTAGTTTGTTTTTAATTGTGAGTTTGAAAGATTTCTTTGGTCAGCGGCCCTCTCAGAGAATTAGGTATCTCATTCCATAGTTTAGCACCAATCCTTGAAAAGGCGTTTTTTTGTATTTCAAGTCTAGAAGCTTGTATGTAAAAATTATCTGAAGTAGATGAGCGTGTGTTATAAGAACGGATACTGGACGTTTTCGTAAATAAGTTACGTATATTAATTGGGGCAGAAGCAGTGCTAACGTCGTGCATCAACTCAGATAAAGTTTTGTACTACAAAAAGTTCAAAGGCAAAATCCTAGCATTAATAAACAGTGGAATGGTATTTCGTCTTTGTTTGCGAACTACATGAAATGCGTTGTTGTACAGTCTCAAAAACTTTTCCATGCTTCTACAGGACATTCATCATGGAAATGGAACCCAGCAGATGTTTTATGACGACCCACATGTTATGTACATCTCAATTCACCGCCATGACGATGGGACCTTCTTCCCTGGTACCGGAAAGTCAGAAGAGGTATTAATCCTTTACACCGTAACATCATGCATATTCTCCATACTGTTCTCATTGCATTTTTTAAGTTGCTGACAAGGAGAATTTGTTAAACGATCAAGTGCTTCTTTAGTTGGTGATCATTTCCTTGATTCTTGTGACCGTTGACGTTTGATTCAGGGGTGATATTGTTAGGAGAAATTATGACCAGAATGATCAGAGATATCACTCATTACAATCAGTGACGGGTAAATTACTTATGATAACGTATCGATTATTGTGAGTCTCCGGCAGTTTTTTGGTTGAAAGAAAAACGGGCGTAGACTACAGAACTAACAAAAGTTTTCCTCGCTTTGCTTTCACTTTGATTTAGTTATTACAAGTAGGTGTCGAAGTGAAAAAATATTTTCTAACCCAACCATTGAAGTGTCTGCAAGGTTTTGTTGATGAGAATGTCATGTTTGTTTTAGTGTGGTGCTGGAATAGGTGTTGGCTATAATGTTAATATCGCCTTCATGGGCGGATTAGGTAAGTGACAAGGTTAATACTTCTACCTCTCTTGCTCCAAAGATATAAGATATAAGTTCTCCTTACTGACCGCTAGAAATTTCTTCTAATTTTCACTCAAAGACATTGTTGTTTAATCAAACATATCCTTCACTTGATATTTTTGTTACTTCTCATAACCGTTGACACCCTTACATCAGTATCTGTATTCTCCATAGTTTCCTCTAGACATTTCCTTTGATACTAACAAGGAGAATTCGTTTAACAATCAAAGCTTCCTTTATTTTCATGATCTGAAGGAATGATTCAGCAGTTTAAAGTCCTAAGCACATAATTCAGCTCACGATATTTCCACTTGTTATTCAACAGAGCCAGTGTATGGTGATGCTGAATACTTCGCAGCGTTCCGTTCCATAGTGATTCCCATAGCGAAGGAGTTTGAGCCCGACATAATATTAGTTTCAGCAGGATTTGACGCTGCAGCCGGACATTCGCCTGCTTTGGGTGGCTACCAGGTCACGGCAGCGTGTAAGTATCAAGCTATGGAGTAATGTTGCGGGAATTAGCTGTGGCCTTCTCACCCAGTAGGAGTGACTTAGAGTGTCTGGCGACTGAAAATACAGGGCCGACAGCAGGATAGACAATGCAAAAAAGGGGGGAGGGAAGGGTGCGTAGTTGCTTAGATAATCATGATGTTCCAACATTTTTAAGGAGGCTATGTCACGCCTCGTGTATCTTGATTAATTTACTATGTAGCTAGATATCTTTAAAAGTTTGTAAATTATGATTCGTGTTTTTCTTCTCTCCTTTACTATGCTCGTTTCTTCATTATTTGCTTTTATCTCTTAAAGAATGTTCCATTTTCCTAAGTTTATATTTTGTTGTTTCCTTGAATTTGATGATGGTTTTGTTCGATGATCGTGATTGAAGGATACTGGAAATGAATCCTCGCTGGGGGTCTAAATCTCGCCTATGAAACCCTCCAATATGGAGCTAACTGAGAGAAAGCCAGATTTTTCATTCCAATATTCTACGAGATGAGCTAGTTGGTGATGTAGGTCTTATTTTAGTTACACATATGACGGGCGTGTTACACTCTGTTAGGATTGGCGATTTGTCATGTGTAGAGACACAGAAAGAAAGAAAGAAAATTTTAAGTCCGTCTTCGAATGACAAAGAAACACTGTTTTGGTATAACTTTTTTATGTGGCTATCTATATTCATATGATGCATTTTCAGGTTATGCGCAGTTGACGAAACAGCTCATGGACGTTGCGGGAGGCCATGTGGTCCTGGCATTGGAAGGAGGCTATAGTTTGCCGTCCCTGTGCGATGCAGCTGAGGCATGTGTGAAGGCCTTGTTAGGAGAAAAGGTGAGAACTGAACTTTGCTGAATATCCGCAGTGTTGTCTTTCCATTGTATTACCGAAGGAAGGGTGTTCTGGAAGCAGAAAGGCAAACAAGACAGGCAGACGAGCATGCGAAGTGAACGAACGTGCAAACAACAAGGCAAACGGACCAAGGAAAAAGAAAGCGATTGTCGACCGAAGAAACAAGAGAAACAAAGGAAGAAACAAAAGTACAAGCAAGCATTTTAGATGTCGATTTTTTTTTTTTTTAACATCGAACTTTTTTTCTTTTGTTTGCCTTCTCCTAGTTGCCTGAACTTTCCAAGGATAGCCTTAAAAGGGCACCGAATCCAAACGCTGTAGCTGTTCTGGAGAAAACGATAAACATACAAGGTATGTAAATTAAACAGTTTTCCGTATCATTTGGCGAAAATTCCAAACCGGAACCAAC